TAAGATATTGTTAATTGTTTGTAACTGTTTTGTTTACATTTCAATGTTTACTTTCATCCTAGGTTAAAGTTGAAATGTAACAGTATATCAATGGAAGTAGCAGTTTTGCTATATTTGTTTTGAGCATACGTCGTAATATTGGTCGTCGCACCAATAATGCAAATATTGTAAGAGAGTGGCGTCGTGAACAAGAAGAACCAGATGAAGCAGTGGCGGAAGAAGCTGATAATGATAGGCAGTTAGCTAATCAATTCCAACATGAATTAGATGCACTAAAATTTTACACTTGCACTAACTGTCATCGCCATCAACTAACAGCTTCAAACCAATCACCGATTTGTTCGCGTTGTCGTTCAAATGCAACTAAATTCACGGCGTTAAATAATATGGATGTGTCAAGTGTCCCGAACGAATTAACTGACCTGACGATTGTAGAACAAATGTTGATTGCACGAGTACATCCTGCTATGCCCATTTACAAAGTACAAGCAAATGGTCAGGATGGCCAGTTTCACTACAAAGGTACAGTATGAACTATCAGATAAATTTGTCATTCTTTAGAACTTAAATAATATCGGGTAAACAAACGGCGAATCTGTTGAAAGGGAACATATTGTAGGGTATTAGCTGCTTTAGCCATTGACAATCTTTAAATAATGCTTCGCTCATTTATGCGTCTAAAGTGTAACGGCAGACCACCCTAGTCTATACAAGTATTCTTTTTTTCTCTTAAAATGGCTACACTTTGGCATATGATGAACAGTATTGTTCTGTTCATATTCAAAGGTTGTAACAATGCATACCTAAGTATACCATCTCCAGTTTACATACTAATCCCTTCAGGTTTGGTAGGTTCCAATCTCAACTACTAGAAGCCACATTGAAGACACATTGACACCAGTTGCCTCCCGGAGAGTCCAGGAAGTCCCGGAGATGGGAGGATGTCGCGTGCCCGAGGGAAGGAAGGGATCGAAGAAAAAGATTTAAAAGGATTTAAAAATAAAACCGCCTGTGAAGGGGGGCTGTGGCACGAGCGCCGCTATTTATAGGTGGCAGTGGCAATGATCAGTAAGGTGGTGGCTGTGGCGGCGACTGCTGCCTGATAGGATGCCTCGGGCCTTCCTTCTGACACATAGGAGGTACGACTACGAGTCTCCAAGGGGTAAGTCATATGACATAGATTATCACTCCGGGAAATGAACTTTCTTAGTATTTTTGGGTATGCCAATTGTATTTGCAATGTGATAATCAAAACTCATTCAACACATTTTCCAACCCCCTCAACGTTTTGTTGATATTCCGGGGTGGAACCCTGAGTTCTGAAGTCCGATACGCTGACCTCTAGTTTAGCTATACACCCAAAGATGGTTCGTGCAAAACTCCAACTCTGCAGATCATTGAAGTGTTGATCCGGTATCTGAGGCATGTCCTAACATATACTTGTGCAAAGGGAAACAATAAGTTATAAGTGTTGAAGTAGGACACTTATAGTGTGATTGTTGACGGAAAGCGGCTGGCTGAAGGGTCGACCCTACTCACACACACGCAGGCCTCACACACACAGACGCAAGGGATTAGGACGGACGTGGGACGGACCATTGTCCTGCCGTGCGAGTCATCGCTGGCTCACGGAAATTAAACTATCATTTTTTAAATTTTAAGTTTGTTATAAAATCTGGTAACGCTTATGACTTCAGCTCAAAATGCGTAGTAAAATGATACCAAACAATATATATTTTGCTTATAAAGTGTAAAAGCTACGAATATTTTAACACGTTTTTATTAGCTAGCTACTTGTCATAATCATTTCGTGTTTGGACTCATTTTTCATTGAATTAAACAACAAATTTATTAACACTAACCATTTTACTGTATATCTAACATCAAACGAATAGCAATTTTGAGGTATTATACAACAGATGTTATATTTCTTAGTGAATAGGGGATCGGGGCTTTCAGGCAATTAGGACGGTGGTGAGTGTGCGTGCGTGAGTCGGGTCCCTCGCAGGTAGGGCTGAGCTCCAGCCGCACTCCGGTAAAAATCAGACTATAGTCCTGCATGGGATGAATCATTTTGTGATCGTTCTGAGTGGTTATGTGTGTGGAGGTTTAGATATAAAATGTAGATATCGTGCTGATGGGTTATTTCAGTAGGTTCGGTAAATCACGTGCTGATGGTCGTATAGACTTCTAGCTTATACATCTCTGAGAAAAAGTTGATTATGATTAAACGTGAACAGGTTGGACATAACTTTACTTCAAGAGATCAATGCAGATTAATATTTCAAGAAGTCTTTAAGCAAATAAAAGCGATTAATGGATTTCATTACTTGTACAAATTTTCAAGGAATCTGACGTTTTAAGAATTAAAACATTTATCTTTTTATTGGATAAAAATTACATTATATAACAAGAGGGAAGATCGAGCGTTATCAAAACTGACTCCAGCATGACGACACAGTGTAAATTATCTTAAACTATTGTCTTATCCCCCTGTATCTTAAAAGCAGATGCATTCAATAAAAATGATTGTAAAATAGTTACTTTACATTTATAATTCAGATTTTTGTGATGTGTCTAATTATAAATAAATAATTCATTATTGAGGTGCAACCACACGAAAATATTAGTAAATATGAATAATAGCAAATGTACTCCTGATGAAAAATTGCTAAAACCTTTCACAACCGATAACATTCACTTTCAGATTCATCATCCAATCTTACATATCGACAATCAGTATCCGAAGTCAATGTCTAAAAAAAAACGCTCCGATTTCCACTAATAGGACGACTGTTTTCTCGATTCCGATAATTATAAATCCAGCAAGTGACCACGGGGTAGATCTTGCACAGACAATTTATTGTTGTCCAACCTGTAGTTGGTATCGTGGTGTAGTGATTTGGCTGATCGCTAGACCCGGAGTGCCAGTATCAGTTCAGTTGGCTCGCACCCACTAACTCACTAGTGATTACTCATTATGTTGCTTCGGCAATTCTAACAATCGGGTCAGATGTAATCAGGCTTGTGATCGAAGGAAATAGTTTAAAAGTGATTCTAAACGTTGTGGTCGCTTTATTTCATGGAAATTGTGTGATTTACAGAACCTGGTAGATGTAAAATATTTTACAAAATATATTTCAATTTTAGTCAAATATTTAGATCGATCCGCTGATAAGATTGTAAATTATTTTAACGAAATTGTAAAAGTACTTAAAATATAGGATTAGTTTTTCTTAGATGTAAAAAAGTTTAACTTATTAACTACATAGTTGCAACGAGTTAAAAAAAACCTAGTTGAATGAACCATTTATTAAGGAAGTAAACGTTACAATTCTACACTTATTTTATAAGCATTAAAGATTTTTATTTTTTAAAGATTTTATTTTATTTATTTTATTTGTTAAAGATTTTATTTTATTTATTTTATTTTTTAAAGATTTTATTTTATTTATTTTATTTTTTAAAGATTTTATTTTATTTATTTTATTTTTTAAAGATTTTATTTTATTTATTTTATTTTTTAAAGATTTTATTTTATTTATTTTATTTTTTAAAGATTTTATTTTTTAAAGATTTTATTTTTTAAATATTAACTATAAAAGATAGCAAGAACATGAAGTATTTGTTGTTTACAAAATTGACCCTTCAGTATGACCCGATAAAACAGTTGGTGTATAAAACAGAAATTGGTAATTAATTGACATCAACACACTTAGTAAGATGATCAATTCGAGTTTCCTTATTTTCACTATAAAACTGGCTTCATCTTAAAAATATGAATGGAATGTCTAGTTACGTCTGCCAATAGTCCAAGCTTCGAGTATAGTTACGTTGTTAGGCGTTGGAATATCAGTATGCTGCATTTTGTATAAAAGTAATTTTATTTAATATTTTAACAGTCATATTATTTGCAATGTACGGTTTGTTTTAACTGTATTTATTAAAATTCAATATACCACATAAGCAGGTACCTTGCAAATTCCTTTGCAATACTACATTAAACCATTATTGGATACTGAAGTCATGTAACTACTTTAGGCCTAATTAATTACAATAGTTACTTGACCAGGTGTGGTTATGATCTCCGGTTCGTTGCCCATACACTATAGGAGGAGAAACACAAGATCCTTTCTCTATGTTGTCAAACAAAATTGATTGTAAACATTACGTAATTAATACACGTTTTAAATTATAATTTAGGCGTAGGCGGAGGCACAAAGAGTCCCCAGGTGCCCCTGTTTTTGGCACGACCACAATGCTCTTCTCTACCACGTTTTGGCAGAATTCCGTGTTTAAGGTGAAAATAGCTTGACAGGTGTTTTCGGAGCCCCATTCAAGGATGTCTGATGAGGGGGTAAAATTACTTCACTTTGAAATTTACAATACAACGGTCGGGGAGAGTTGTACGATGAGAATTGACTTGTCGAGCACCCTCTAGTAACCAAAATCTAAAAATAATCGGGCACATTCTTACCGAATAAACTAAAACGAGAGCCTGTTTGGTATGACATTTTTAAAAGTTTACTTTTCTGCAAAACTGGACTCGTTGGTTATTTTAACCTAATAACACTCGTCTCTTGCAAGATGAACTGACGTAAGAAGTACATACATAGGCTTTACTTACACCCCTTCGTCTTGCTAGCGTTAAACTGAATGGATTTACTAATAACCAACCGTCTTTCCCCAGAACGTTAAAAGCTAATGTTTAAAACATCTATATATATATATTTTGTCGGTAGCCTATAACCTTATTTCTTCGCCAATCGACATAAACGAGGAGTCATTTTAAAGCTACTTTTGCCCACTACATCGGGAAAGAATACAAATCACTCATTTTCGAATAGGTAGTTTTTTTTAACAATCTATTATATCATACTGCAAGTAATTTAAACTTTAAATATTTATTTACGTTATTCGACCAGCTGAAACATGTAAATTAAATTAATCAAAACAAACAAATATTTACTTCTCAAATCCTATTCATTTATGACGGACAAACAAAGTTAGTCTGTGCTTTAAACGATAAAATGAACCCCGAGATGAAATCGGTTTATTCACTTTACAGACTAAACAAGTCTAAAGAAGAACAACTCAAAAGTAAGTACCACATGGATTCTTAAGCTTTTACATTCATTTATTTAGGTACTACATAGCCTTCATTTTAACACACCTACCAACAATTCTATGAATATTTAAAAATTCCATCTTCAAACACCACCTCTCATCTTTTCTTTACTACATGTTTCAATGAATTGCTATATTGTATCGAATTGGTTACCAACAGGAAACGGTTTATATCAGTTTTGATTAGTTTTTTACCAAAGGACGTGAAGAGCTCTGTTTTATCCATTATAATTTAACTCTTAAGCCCTTTAGGTTCGTCACCTCATAAACCCATGCTAAAAAGAGCTCTTTTATCATGTTGATGAGAAACCTAAACATTATCCAAGATTGGTGTAGCTCACTTGGGCACCTACACTATCAAAGCAAAGTTGGCTCGACTCTGGTCAAAATGTCATACTACGCAATAGTCCGAAATTCTCTCAAGCTAACTAAGAAGACATTTTTCTTAAAAGTTACCTTTGCTGTACTCTAACGAAGGGAGGATTGAACTTGACCGTGTCAGGCCCTGTTTTTTACACTTTCAGTTGTTGTATCTTTGTCAAGGGTGCGCTTTTTCAGTGAAAACTATGTCTGTGTAAAAACTAAAAAAAATACGTCAACACAAAAATCGTACATGGCCATATTCAAACATAGTGTTCACAGAGGTCATGTAAACATGCAAAAACATAAACAACTTAATATTATATTTTAAGAAGATTAATTATCTAGCAAGTAAACCTACATCTATTCCTGAATTCAGGATTCATATACTTAAATCAACGATGCACTTAACCCCATAGTATTAACTGTATGTTGTGCATTTCAATAAGTGTGATTGGAGATGGATTCAGTGCGAATGCTTCGCACGAGTCGGCTAGTTAATTAGGTACTGCAGTCTATTAGACATGAACCAATCCAATAAACAAACAGCTCAATGAAAATACATTATAGACATGTTATAAATTTAGACTAAGGTGTTTGAACCAAGGGTTGAACAAGGTTGTTTGGTTGTTTGGTATAGATGTTGTCCAAATATTCAGACGCAACTACTGGACGGATGTTCGTGATTCCTCTCAGGAAAGATAATTTTGAGGGGAAGGGAATATTGAATGCAGAATTTTAATTTTCTGTAGGAATGTATGAATGTTTTTAGGAACAGCTGACTAGTTGTACATTTCAAATTAGTTTATTATGAATGTCTTTCTTACATTCATAGCACGGCTCAGGGTGATTTGTACGCAGTGTGACAAAATTTTTTTGATGTAAGTACAAAGTAAATGAAGTGTGATGATGCATATAAAATGTTCCAAGTCTCAAAATTAGCGTCCCAAAAAATTATTTTATGTTTTTCAAAAATAACCATGCTTTTAAACTTAATACAGCCATTTCTCAATTACCTGTATATGGATTTGAGTAGATAATGTCATTTTCGTGTTCTACATTAAATTTTGAACAAGATTAATGGAAAATGACGGAGGATCAGTTGTAAAAACTCCATTGCAAATAGATTCAAAGATAAACATTAAGATATTTGATAACAATTTTAAAAACAATGGTCTATTGCATTTTTCACACCATGTATACAAGAAAGTGTCGGAATATGTTAAAAACTGCGCCATTTTATAAGCTTTCCAACCATATGCTACACTATTGAGGTTTAGATATTTTTTTGTTTGTTTTAGTGGTTTGAATACCAGAAAACAGGGAACTTTTTTACTGTTTTTACTGTTCAAGCTGAATCAAAAATACAACTTTTGCTTAATACATGCCGACTGTCTATGTTTTAAATGTTAAAGACACCATGCTTTGTAGTCTTCAAACCATTAAAGCGTACATAAGCAGACATAAAACTCAATAGTGTAGCATATCGTTGGAATGCTTATAAAATGGCGCAGTTTTTAACATATTCTGACACTTTCTTGTATACAGGGTGTGAAAAATGCAATAGAACATTAATTTTAAATTTTTATCAAACATATTAATTTTTATCTTTGAATCTATTTACAATGGAGTATTTACAACTGATCCTCCGTCATTTTCTATTATTCTTGTTCAAAATTTAATGTAGAACACGAAAATTACATTATCTACTCAAATCCATATACAGGTAATTGAGAAATCGCTGTATTAAGTTTAAAAACATGGTTATTTTTTAAAAACATAAAATATTTTTTTGGGAAGCTAATTTTTAGACTTGGAACATTTGATATGCATCATCACACTTCATTTACTTTGTACTTACACCAAAAAAATTGTGTCACACTGAGTACAAATCACCCTGTATATAATATTCGTGCTGAGAAATTATCTCGTTATGTTTTAATTTACGTTGTAGAACGCATAATTTTCTTTGTCAAATCTAGAGAAGGTTCTCTGTACAATTATGTTTTGTGTTTATACTTCGTTAATTGTTAGAAAGGTTATCATGTATGGGACACGGAGAACGTGATTCGCAATTCTCTCCTAGGCATCATAAAGTTAACAAAACGTGAATTACAAAAACATTTTTGGACTGGATGGATTCGTGTGTAATTCTAATCCGATCGTTGAAAAAGCGATGTCAAAGGCCCCCTCTTAGATTTTTTTTACTTTTTGATAGTTGTATCCAAACATTTCTAATTGGTTTAATATCGTTTGGATATAAAGAAATATGACTTGAGTTCAGTAATTTGTACCCGATATTATTCTTACAGAGAATTATTGTTTATTGTAATTTTTTTACATACATCTATTTTATTACATGTTTCTTTACATGTTTGAAATTTTCCAATTTATTCATTACATTGTGACGTATTTAATTTAACGTGCAAAGAATCACACTGGCTGCTCGTCTTTGGTAGCAATTGAATGTATTCAGAAACAAAATATACAAGGTCGCCACTAGACACTCTTTATTCTATTCATCATGTAAAGGTGATCAGTCTAGAAACATTGTACGCTGCTAGTAAAACAACTATCATAGTTAATTGACTCTAGCTGGCTTAGCCTCTCTTGTGTGACGCAGCTCAGCTCAACTGTGAGCGCAATCAGTACAGAATCCAGACAAGAATAGCTCTCTAGCAGGTGGTCTAACACAACAAGTGGCCTTTATCTCCCAACCAACCGGGGGTCTTGGCTTGAAAAAGTAAAACTGTTTGAAATCTTAATAAACATTTTTACTCTGGGCTCATTAAACTTAATGATATAGCATGTGAACTCACCTTATAATATTCATTTTAGGCTAGGCCTATTCTATAAATGTTTAAAGGTAATAGGTTAACAAAGATATGGATTACAAAAGGTTTTTTTATTTAAACAAATGAACAATTAACATGCAATGAGAAAAGGCTTGAAGTTACAATGAAAGGATTGACAATGGTGCATGGGGTTGAAATTAAATTGAAATAAAAGATAAATTTTAATAATAACTTAAAGGTTCAAATAATTTAGATGTGATATCTCTCAGGGTAGGGTGTCGTGCTGGCTTGAATGCTAAGAATGAATAAATTTGATAGTGTCCAAATAGGCCTAATTAAGGTGTTAAACTTACACAATCTCAACAATGGAAAATCTAATTTTGGTGTTGTCCAAAAGGTAAGTCCAATTAGCACAAAATTTAAAAGAGTTCAAAGAAAAGTTTATACTTAGTTTTGAAGGTAATGATTGAGTTGAGTCCTCTTGAGGTTTAGGCTACTATATGATATAACTTGAAACTGGTCTTCTTGGTGAATGAATTTGATTTAGGAAAATTTTGACTCCTTCTTCTAACAATTTCAACTTCTCAATGGCTTCCTTCTCTCTCAATCCAATGTTCACATCACTCATTGTTGAACACATGGGATCACTTTCACTGCTTCTTAAATTTTGATTCCTTAAGGACTAATTTTGAAATGATATTATATGAAATTTTGATGTATTGCAATTCTCTTACATATTTAATAAATAATTAGGTTGTGGGCTTTGTAAAAAAATATAGGCTATGGAATGAATATTATTAATGATTAATTGAACATATTAATGAAATTATATAAATTAGGAAAATGAATATTAGGGCAGCCTTTCTGATGAGTGATTATTAGGTGTATGAATAAAAGTTAACATTAAAAAAAAACTTAATACTAAATAATGAATGAAATTAAATGAAATATTACAAGCAATAAAAACGAACTATTAATGGATAATATTTTGAGTGATGAATGATGTTGTACTCTGATTTAATTTTAAAGAAGTCTAGATTCATGTGTTAGTGTGCCCTCATACTCAAATCTTTACACATGTTTCTTCCCTGTTCACAAAATGTACAATTTTCCAATTTGTGGATAAAACATAATTGGCATAGTTGGCTTTTTTTTAAGATTGGGTGAGGTGTGCTTTGGTAAGGGACCTTACGTAATGTATTATTGAAGTTTGATGTACATTTGATGGTTCACTACAACTAAAGTAAACGCTAGGTTACACCATGCATCATACCTGGTTTTTAGGAATTATTAAAATAAACAAAATAAAATCCCATAAAATTTTATGAAAAAGATTTTTACTTGTTTAATGATGATATTGACGCTTTTATATGGAACCGGGCTAATTACCAGGTAAAGGAGTTCTTGCGTAGCGAATACCATTGATAACTGCCCTATATCTACACCACCCACATCAGATTTTATATTTATTAAATAGGTTCAAAAAGGAAACCAATTTTAGAGCAATATTTTTTTAGATTTCTAAACTAGAAAAATATATAAACAAGAAAAACAAAGGAAAGAATGTTTACATATTTCCAGTTTCTTTTATTTACTCTTTCTGGTCGGTTTTCATAATTGTTTTTTACCACGAATTACCCTCCAATGTCTGTTCCCAGGATCTAGCTCAGAGAGCAGTGTCAGTGAGGCAGCCTACTCTCCGGGAGAATGTGTCTATCAGCCACCTCAACTAGTTCCATGTCTACCAGTCGCGGCTGATGTTCCTGATGATCTCTATAATCTCACCCAGCTTGCAGAAGTCAGCCTAGCTGCCGCCGCTGGACATGTATTTAGACCAACCAAACCTGAGGTGACTCATACGGACTTTTCCAGATGACGAGAGAGTCTTACGAATAAAATTTCAAAGGCTGACAAATTTTAATAATCTTGGATACACTTTCAAGGTCACTGATTGTAGTGTCATCGTATTCCGGGGTCAAACTTGTCAAAAACGACGAACAATGACGAAACATTCCGTTCACCGACATTAATTAAATTTGGGTCTCGATGCAGAGTGTCGTCTTTAGGGTGACATCGCTTCAGTACAGTTATCGCAACAACAAAAAGTGTTCCACTTGCTACGACAACTTTGTGGAAAAGAAGTCAGAAGTCACCAATGCTGTCCGCATATTCTGCATCGAGACCAAAACGTCGGGGAACTGAAGGGTTTCATTGTTGTTCGTCGTGTTAAACAAGGTCGATCCCCGAAGACCATCAATCAATCAATCAAAAAAATTTATTTACACAATAATTACCAATACATAGGATACAAAAGTGCAAAAACCACAAATGGTTTGTCTGCACTAAAAATATTGTTTCTTATTTACCATACAGTTTTGTCAGTTTGAATCAGTAGCATGCAGTTTTTATGAGTTCTTAATTGTCTCTTGAGTAATTAATAACAAAAAAAAGACAACAAAGACACAAATATCTGTAAAAATTCAACAGTAACAATAATAAATAAACTATTGGAATAAATAACAATAATATATTACTTTTTCCATCCATGAATCTACAACTTTAAATTTTTTTATAATAAGGGCCAAAAGGTCCTCGAAGTTTAAGGAGAATTTTAATTCATCGTTCTCATGACAAATTCTTAGTAGTATTATGATCTGAATGCATAAGCACCTCAAGTTTTACCTTCAATTTACGATAAGAGTTTTCCATGAACCGAGTAGGTACCTTATGGGTTTGATTTTAAAATTAGCTTATAGCTTACCATTACTTTATCTTTTTTGATAGGGACTTTGTCTGCCCGTAACAGTAGATATATTTTTATCCCAATCAAAAAGAAATTGGATATAACAACACAATCTCAAGAGAGTTTAGCGGCTATCACATTTTTCAAGTACGATACCCTGTGCATAGTTTCAAGACATTTTGGGGACTAAGTAGAGTAAGTAGAGTAGTTACCTTGTCCTAGAACGTTATGCACTCTTGTTATTCTCTTAAGCTTGCAAATATTCTGAAATCTCTGAAATATTTCAATGTTTATTCCGACTTTTTTAGAAACCCGAGAAGGAAAAGGAGCGAGAGCACCACAGCTGTGGGGATTGCGGCAAGACATACAGCACCAGCAGCAACCTGGCCAGACACCGGCAGACACACAGGTCACTAGCAGACAAGAAGGCGCGGAGATGTCCTCATTGCGACAAAGTGTACGTATCCATGCCGGCCTTCAGCATGCACGTGCGGACCCACAGTCAGGGGTGCAAATGTTCCTTCTGTGGCAAGTGCTTCTCCAGGCCGTGGCTGCTTCAGGGACACATCCGCACACATACAGGTAAAGAGAACCGGGAAATTAAGCCGGAAATAACAAAAGATTTGATTACACTGTTGACGTGCCCTGAGGGCTATTTTTTTTAATTTTCTGTTTGGCCTTGGTAGTTGAATGATTAGTGCCAAATAAAAATCTGAAGTTTGCTAGTTGGATTCTTAGAAAATCGATTCTGGACCCAGATGACATTTGTCGCTGGCCTATTGATGCTATCTAAGAAAATACGTCTGTTAGGAAAATCAGGGTTGGGACCAATCCTTTACAAAAATCCAAACACATTTGAATGAATAAAATTATTTTGTGCAGTAATACCGATGCAATACACTCATCCAGTCAAACTTAGACATTTAGAGTCCCTCAAAAAGCTGGTTTATTATACAGGGTGTTTTTTTAAAAACTTGCATCTTTATTTATGTAAAAACCGCAATAGATAGAAATATGCAGTTTGCGGGAATCATCTATTGACGTAGGGGGACCAATTGTTTTGAATTCTACGTATACATTCACATTCCCCCCCTTTCCCCCCCTGCCCCCAACTTATTTTTTTAAATAGCAAGGTACCCCTCGTGACATATCAAATAAAAGAGCATGAAAAAAAGAAAATGTTTGATGAAAAAAAATTGAAAATCGGTTCATAAATTTGTGAGATATTCCCCCCCTCACCCCCCCGGAACTTAATTTTTTGTAATAGCAAAGTACCCCTTGTGACATATCAAATGAAAGAGCATGAAAAAAGAAAATTCTTGGTGAAAAAAAATTAAATTCGGCTCATGAATTTGTGAGATAATCACCCCCCTTTTCCCCTACCCATAACTTGTTTTTTAATAGCAAGGTACCCGCCCTTGTGACATATCAAATGAAAAATAAATTTCACCAAAATTTTTCTTTTTTCATGCTCTTTCATTTGATATGTCACAAGGGGTACTTTGCTATTTAAAAAAAATTAAGTTCCGGGGGGGTGAGGGGGGGAATATCTCACAAATTTATGAACCGATTTTCAATTTTTTTTCATCAAACATTTTCTTTTTCCATGCTCTTTTATTTTATATGTCACAAGGGGTACCTTGCTATTTAAAAAAATTAAGTTGGGGACAGGGGGGAAAAGGGGGGGAATGTGAATGTAACGTTGAATTCAAAACAATTGGTCCCCCTACGTCAATAGATGATTCCCGCAAACTGCATATTTCTATCTATTGCGGTTTTTACATAAATAAAGATACAAGTTTAAAAAAAAAACACCCTGTATAATCCTAGATAGGTCGTTTAAAAATACTCAATGTTAGTGACTCTTTCCGTCAAGTAATTTGCTGGGCAGTACCGAAATAAGATACGGCAGTATTGTTGCTTAATCCTAACTCCACAATGGAAATCTATAACAGGATCACCCCTCTTTGGACTTATAAAATTTCGATCAGACCAAATTATAGGTATAAGCAGACCCGTCAAATTGTTAACAAACATTAAAAAATATTAAAATAAATAATTTTGAAGGTGAAAAGCCGTTCAAGTGCCCAGTGTGCTGCAAAGCCTTCGCAGACAAGTCCAACCTCCGCGCCCATGTCCAGACACATTCCAACACCAAGCCACATGTCTGCCCGAGGTGTGGGAAAGCCTTCGCTCTCAAGTCGTACCTTTACAAGCACGAGGAGTCGTCCTGTGTGCGAGGCAAGGCGGAGGATGCCGCGTGTGACCTTACCTTGCGACCTCACTCGCACCCGCTGGGGCTCACCGTGGCTGCATGACACGGCGTCTCAGAACGCGCATTTCCATACTACTAACGATCACCTGCAGGAGTTAAAAAGTAAATTTAAAGATTCTTAGGCTTAGGTTTAAGCCGGCAAGCGTCCAAATATCTGTATCTATGTATAATCTTAGTTATACAGTATTAAAACATACATTTGTATTAAAGTTCTGTTAGAGATATCAACATTGAGAAAGGTGCAAATAAATCGGGTATGTCTTTCTTATAAGGTGTCTAAATTTCAGCACCGTACACAGAAACACAGGAACATCCAAATGGTAACTTATTAAAAAATATTATTGTATTTTGCATTGGATAAGTTTGCTGCTACAGGGAAGGGAAATGTTTTAAAATCGAAATTTAATATACAAAAATAAATAAAATAGTAATGGATTATTTAAATTTTATCGAAATAGCCTACATCCGTACACAATAAAACCACGATGATTTTCTTTTTCTCAATAAGAATAAATGATATTTTAAGTGCACTTTTAATGTATACATTTTTTTCTCCATTACCTGTAATCGTACAACAACGCTTCATTGCAAAAACTTGTTTTTAGTTCTTCACCGTGGTTTTGAAAAAAAAATTTGACGTTTTTGTATTTGTTGGAAAAAAAATAAAATTCTCATTGTACGATCTTGCTGGTTCACGAACATATTCAAGTTTATCCAGGCCTACTTATGCCGTTGTTTTTATTTATTTTTCTTTATTCTTCATAATGATTATAGAGACTAATAATAATACCGTAAATGTTTCTAAAGAGATTCCGGGTTTTTTATAGATCTTTAATATGTTTTGGAGATTGTAGAGAACCCCTAGAACAAGACACCTGACTCTCCTGGAAATAATTCCCGTTAGCAACCTTGTTACTACTCGCAAAATTCATTATGCAACTCTATAAGCTTCGAGATTCAGTTGGGTGTTCCATTATATTTTGGATTATTTGATTGACATCGTGACTACTTTAGTTGAGTTGAGACTATCCAATGATTAAAAAAGTTATATTTGAACAGCTATTTGATAGGGTTGAGTTGGCTGCAACCTTATTTGTGTACAACCACGTGAAGTTCTTACAACAACGTATTGTATACGTTCCATCGTCAATAAAGATGATAAATTCCTAGATAAACTTCAATGGTCAAAATAGTTACTAAAATGTATATATAGTCATAATACTTTTTGTTAGTTGTCAGGAATGTAATCCTTTAATCCAAACTTATCAACGTGTTTAGCTAAGAGTCCCCGTGCGTTATGAAACAGTTATACATTTGCCATCAAACATCAAAACATTGACTAAGGAAATAAAAGCTTTGTTTCCATTGTCTGTGGTCAAAACTATTGTCAAAATTGTTAACGAATTGTTTATAATCGTAGACTTCTAGTGAGAGTAGACTAGTTGTAGAAATGTCCTGCCAAATTCCTTACTAGTCTTAGGATTGTAGATTGTGTATAAAAGTATAATTTAGGTTGCATTAATTTATGTTAATTTAATTTTTTATTTGTATTTTATTTTCTAATCATTCACTTATAATTTGTGTGAGTTTACTAACTATTCACGCATACCTTTGAAATCATTTAGTGAAATTTTGTTTTATAAACTATTAGCATTGACAATAATTTTCAAGATTCATGTAGGCTTATTATTTAATCGGGATGGAAAATATTCTTTGATAAATATAACCTAAAATTGATTATTGTCGACAAACTAAAATACAGTAATCATGTGGTTGATTAAATATTTTGTCACAGTGTAAGCCATAAATAACATTTTATGCGTATACAGAGTTAGAATTCAGTCATATTGCCTGTTGGGAGATGACTCAGACATTGATACTATTGATACGTAGTCAAAATACAGTAGATAATTCTGTGTTTAGGTCCTAATTGCCATTTCAAAACACGGTCAAACAGTTTAACGAATTGTCATATTTCATTAAATGATTTCAAATTTGCAATTTACTAATTTTATTTGTTTGATAAAAACAAGGACGAGGTATTCTAGTCGATTACGATCTTTTTGCATTTTGTTTTATGTTAAATTAAGTTTTTTTTTTAAAGTTAGTATTATTTTTTCTTAATTCACAAAAAAAATTCAACTTCTTTATTTATTGTGTGTACATACGGTAGTAAATTTTGTGGTAAGTATTCCATCGTAGTAGTTTTACTACAACTAGTAGTAATAGCATTAGAAATGTTGTACATATTATTTGTAGAATTTATTGATTTTTGGTTCATTCGGGACCAATTTACTAATCAATATTTAAGTAGGTATAAGTACAGTAGTGATAATTTTACACAGAGTTGGTTTTTTAAATATGGTGTCAAATCCGCTGTAGCCCTTTATTTTGTCTAAATAAACGTTTAAACATTTACAACTAACAGTAATCTTTTGATAATTCCTGCAACACACAACCTTACTACACAATTATCCACTAAAATCAAAGACTTAGGATATAAGTTGGCATGGATCTGCCATAGCCAATTTTTCAGTCTTCATCGGGACTAATGGAAGAATCTAAATCTAACGATCTAATCTAAAATCTATCGACATTATAAACATATTTCATATAATTTACCATCATGTAAATGTTTATAAACTGTATAAATATGATTATTAGGCAATGTAAACTTATACAATTGCATTAAATTGGTATAATAATCTAGTCTATATATATAAAATCCAATGTATGTTTGTATGTTTGTATATTTGTATGTTTGTCCTTTATGGACTCCAAAACCGCTCTACAGATTGTAATGAAACTTTCAGGCATTATTAAGCATTATTCAAGGATGGTTTGTGTGAAGTTTGGTGCAGATCCGTCAATAGGGCTCCGCTCCAGTGGCTCTGGAGTTTCCCATGTTAACCTTATTAGTACTCACTAGTGAACATGTGCGGCTCAATGCCCCGCAAAAACATATGAATTTAGAAAACAAATTCATCATGTTATATATTGACTCGTCGAAAATTAAATACAGTAATAATAAAGTCTTAGAAGGGAAGCAATCCAGCCATTTTCTAGCTGTATGCGTATTATATTTAGTAAATTAATAAGTGTTCAAGTTCAAGTATGTTACATGGTAGTTATTTTTTAAGAATCTTAAAAACACATTTAACAAAACATTTTATCATATCAAACCAATAGGCAGTGAATGTAGCATATACCTATGTGAGGGTCATAAAATGCTGCTTGAAGAAAACACTTTTAAAAATAAACACTAAAAAACAATATTTTTATCACAAAAGCACTTCCATAAATACTACGATTTTAGTCTTAAAGTTCAGAAATATTACCCTGGTCAGAATTTTCCGTAATGAATATGCTTATCCTACTATTAAAAGATGTAGCCTTACTTAAAACAACATATACAGTATATAGTTGTTGCTCATGACTGAAATTGGTCTGGCTAAGAACATTGCTGCTCTTTAATTAAAGTACTTTTGCTGCAAATGCCAAAGATAACAGAAATTAGCATCTTTCCATTCTAAAAGGTAACTTTGTTTCAGACGGGCAAATCTTTTATCATCGAAATCAAAATATGTCCCTACTCACTTGTTCCATGTTAGGACTTTACTTTCTACTTTACATTGTTGTTAACCGTTCTGATCACACGAAGCCTCGTGCCATTAATGAGCCCCTTTTTGATGTATTAATATCAATAAAACCGCTGACTCCTTTTATTAGTATAATCTGTGTCTTGGCAATCCACTGACCTCTATATTTAAAAACTCAGTTGGATTTTCTAGATGGGTGCCTCTGCCTTCGACTGTTTTCAAGGATCCACTCTTCCCCTTGGCATACTGACAATTAATTACCTAACTTGTAAAGTTCATGTAGTAATTCATTAATACTGTTAGTATATAAAGAAAATTGGATAAAAAGTACTTGGCTTGGTGCTTTCATAACTGCAAACTCAAAATACACCCACAAGTAAAAAAGAATCAAGTTATTGGTTAAAAAAAACTATGTTTGTGTAAAAACATTATTCACATGAAGTAGATGATTTGTTTGATTTCTCGATCAGCTGTTTCAAAGATTTGTGATTTTAAATACATCAATAATTATAGTAAAGTTTTCTAAATATGGTAACTTATTCTCAACTAAATGTTACTATTCCCAGCATGAAAATAAAGTAGTGAGATCCGTTATGAGTAAAGTTTAAGGCACACAATCATTGATTGAAATGTAGTATACATTAACAGTCATAATACATAGCAATTATTATTTAGTAGACTTTGACTATTTTCAAATAACAAACATATGTTTCTGTAAATAAAAATTATCTCCCTTGTTATCCTTATGGAGAAATACGAAACTTTAAAGGGCCCCAGGGCCTCACTCTCTAATTATTTCCTTAAAAAGAAGGTTTCCTGCACAACTTCACGTTACGCTCTTTCCAATGACACCAAAAACATGTCAATCGGTTCAGTAGTTTCGGAGGAGTAATTGTCACAAAAATCGTGCTTGCGTATTAAATAAGTATAGAATTTAGTAGACTTTGACTATTTTCAAATAACAAACATATGTTTCTGTAAATAAAAATTATCTCCCTTGTTATCCTTATGGAGAAATACGAAACTTTAAAGGGCCCCAGGGCCTCACTCTCTAATTATTTCCTTAAAAAGAAGGTTTCCTGCACAACTTCACGTTACGCTCTTTCCAATGACACCAAAAACATGTCAATCGGTTCAGTAGTTTCGGAGGAGTAATTGTCACAAAAATCGTGCTTGCGTATTAAATAAGTACGAGAGGTCGTCCAGTGGTCGAAACTCGACCAAAAATATGTAATGTACTCACTTATCTATTTTCACCCCACACTGTAAATAAAACATGTGATTGGAGTTTCCTCCATTTGTTTTGATTTTCTGTTTATATTTCGTTGTTATTTCGTAACCAGCATAGCAACGCATAAGATCCATGTTAATTTTTTCAAATTTTTAAACTCATTTTTTGTGCTTATCTTTGAGCCTATTTAAATTTATAAAGGGATTCTGCACACCTACAGGAAAATAGCTTTCCAACGGTATGCGTAGATTTTCCCTACGATTCACACGAGCTGAGAAAAAAGGTTTTAAAGAAACATGCTTGCCTATTAATATATAGATAGATATAGATAAAGAATCTTAACAGCTGGTGCAACTAAACAATTTGATTCTGTGATGTTCAATAGCATTAAAAAGTTTAAAAACCAACAGGGTGCAGCACTATATTTATTTTTAATTTATGAGAACAGTTAATTTGCAACCAAAAGGTGAGTGAGCGTAGCGAACGAATTTCAACCTGGAGGCGAGTTAGCGTAGCGAACGAGCTAACCTGAAGGCAAGTGAGCGCAGCGAACGAGCTCCAACCTAAAGGTGAGTGAGCGTAGCGAACGAACTTCAACCAGGACGTGATTGAGCCATGCGAACGAGCTCATCTTGAAAATGAACGAGCATGTGACATAAAACCACAATAGGACAGGACGACGTCTGTCGGGCCAGCTAGTAGTATTTAAAATTTGAACTTTGTTAATAGTGTTAATACTCTTGTTTGAATTTGAAACTTTTTTGTAGACTAAACATGTTGCATTACATGAAATAAAGTACTTAATGTGTTACCTGATAATTAATTGTGTATATTATGCACTTTAAATAGCATTAACTTTAACTAAACAATAATTAATTTTTATATGAAGTCGGCATTTTAGTTTAAATCAATATATTTAGGCCAATTGCCTACATATAAACGTTACTAGCCTATACCAAAACTTAATCGTACTCCTACATACTAGCATTGTCAAAGTAATGATTTTAACCAATTTAGCACGCCATACAAGGCACGCTGGCCAAACGCAAAACGCGTCTGTATGTCTATATGTCTACCTTGAAGGCGTTATCATAGTTATTATCTTAAAAGAATTTGTATGGATACCAACCAAAATTTCTTTTATTAAAAATAGTATAGTAACGATGTATCATTGGCTCTGATGTGTCTGCCATATATACTTTTTAACTAGGTAAAGTGCTTTTGGTTTCAAGTCAGATTCATTTTTTTTAACTTTGCAAACTAAGTAGTGTTCAAACTGATATCCAAATTAACCTTAAAATTTACTCTAAATACTCGTCACATGCATTTGAAAACAGTCTTATTTTGGTCAAACAGTTTTTGAGATGTTAAAGAGGAAATAAACGGTAAAACTCAAAACTCACTCTACATTATACCGATAGAAATACACCTCAAAATTGACTGACAAATCTATAACAGTGTATGTTTACGAGTATGTGTCGGGAAACGTTGCCTAAATACAATGTACGCTTTGGCTAGTTGTGAATTGCAATGCAAAACCTAAAATGTCATTCATTGTGGCCGAGTGAAGAAGTCAACGAGGCTAATGAATGACGTAACTAAACACTGGCTGTCAGTCTGAGTGAAGCTCACGCTCAACTTGTTTCCACTTTTTCATACTAAATATTATATAAATTTGTCACCTGAGAAATTTATTATCTCGATAATTCAAACGAAAATGTCATTTGTCGTTGGGTGTTACCTCACAAAATATATATTTTACACAACAGAAAGACCAGAATTTGTCAAGGGGTGTGAACAAAACGTAAACCTCTTTTATCTGAGGTCAACCCTTAAAAAGAAATGTATTTTTCTCTCCATCTTCCTTCCTTCTTGTGGTATGTACGTGAATAGCTAGGAGTTAGCGCTCCTTGCACTCTACACGATTTTGCTAGTCCGGGACGTTATCGTCTGTTGCTTTCACACTACGACGATTTTTAACCAGACGGATTTAAGTTTTGTGAAAAGTGTTGTACAGTTGACTACAAAACGCTAACAAATCATTGTGCATTTACCTTACCCACGTCGAAAAATGAAAAAAAAAACATGACCGTAACCACTAGGTTCATCCAATTAACAAATATTATAGGCTTTTAAATACGTGTTTCTGGCTAAGGGGACAGCTAGTCGTAGTAGTTAATATAGCTCCTCAGATTATCTCGGCCAGGTCCAAATTCACCAACATTTTTGGGGTCGTTTCTAATGTCCAAATTCACCAACTTTCTACCTTTAGCAGCCGGCGGGCGGGGAAGGAATTCCCTCCGAATAGTTTGCCATCGCCTGCTCCGTCTCGTCTCGGCGAGAGTGTACTGTAACCTAACCTAACCTAACTTAACCTAACCTAACCTAACCAAACCTAACCTAACCTAAAGCTGCCTGAAACAATCACAGCTTAAACAGTACTATTAGGGATAAGCAGTACACTCTCGCCGAGACGAGACGGAGCAGGCGAGGGCAAACTATTCGGAATTCCTTCCCCGCCCGCCGGGAGAAATATCGTGCCTGCTCCAGGTAGAAAGTTGGTGAATTTGGACGTAGCCGATTATCTCACTCCAATCTACTCTCGCCTTCCGTTCATATTTTGGGTAAAGGTAAAACACCGCTTTAGTAGCGTCTTATTATTGATGTGTGTATGGCAGGCTAAATACTTAAAATGTTCAAATTTGACTAGTTTAAGTTATATTTCACCTGTTCATAGTTGCACTCATAGATTAAATAAAATAATTTAATCAACTACAGAAAACCAGGGATGCTAGGTTTGAACGATAAAAATAATGTTTTTCACAGTGTATAATATTTGAGGAGAGTTTTTATTTTTATTTTGTGTGTTTTTACGCTTGTTGGTTTCATTTACGTTTTGAAAGGGAACGGCCAAACCCTTGTTGGAGTCATTTATTTTACAAATGTATAGGCATTACAATTATACACCCATAGGCTATACACGATACAATTACATTTGCATTTACGTCGCACAGGGTTGTGGGATATATGCAAATCTTTTGCAACCCGAGAAACAACGCCAATAACAAACCAGCGTTGGCGTGATCCACGATAAAAGTTTGAATCAAACCTAGACATTGACCTTAATTTTTAACCGATAAAGACACATTTTTCGAAGCCCGTGGTAGAGTGGGAGATGCGCTAGTGTGTGTGTTCCTCCGCTGTAGTCTGTAGTGTACCATCGTCAGTCACCACTTCCACTCCTCAGTCCACTAACGGACATGGATGTCCGCATACACCTTGCACTGCTAGTGTTGTGGACTGTGCCTCTTCCTTCATCTACATCCAAGGTAAATATACATACAGAAACTTAAGCTATATTTAGTACGTATTTGTGCAGTGATACTCCTCTAGTTGATTAAGATCGTGAACTGTGAGTGTAAGCAATTTTATGACTGCTTTGGGAGAAATGCTAAATTTACCAATTGACAAAAATCATCATTAATATATCGAGTAGTAATAAGACGAAAAATTCAAGAAAAAGTCGATTTTAAATTGACTGTTGCTAATGATGATTATGTATCATTGTGAACTTTGTTGTACTTTGCTGTAAAATGGTAGACCGAACGACTCAACGGAACAGTAAACGTTCAGTTTTCTTTTTAAAGTGTGTCTATTTAAATCTACTAAAAATATATTAACTAATATTAATGCAATAGCCTAGAATACACTCACACCAAACTGTCACTCTGCGAAATAAAAAATGTTGAGTATATTATCATCCTTTTTTTATTTCGTAAAATTTAAAATTTGGCGCGCCAGCTAGAGGCGTGCAGGGCTTCCCGCCGTTGCTGTACTCGTATTAATGCAGCAAATTACCAGCAATGGGTTTTGAATGAAACAATTAATTAATTCTTTGTTCGCAACTTGCCGCCTTTTCCTTATCAAAATAGGTCACTGTGGTGAGTTAGATGAGTGATAATTCTAATACGAATGTTAATAAACGTTTTGGATCTGGTCAGTGGTTTTATTGATAACTAGCGAATCGTGCTTTGCAACGGGACACGAGTAAAAAGTAACGATAAGTTCATGACAGCTGTTACAAAACAATCTAGAATTGCCCATGAGTTTAGAATTTTACAATAAATAAAAACCACACACTTTAACACCAAGTTTCTTATTTAAACGCGTTTTAAGTGTACACGTTGTACCTCTTCTTGCTGTCTTGTGAGAACAAATGAATGAAATAATACTCTTAAGCTTAACATCTAATTGTTGAAAGCCCAGGGGGAGATTCGTACGAAATTTTAGGTTATAAGATAGACACTTTCTTAGTCTTGGAACTAAATGTGATTGAATGAACGGCTATGTAATTATTCATAAAATACATACAGACATACATAATTATTGATCATGTATCAATCATTTTTAGATAAATAGAAGATCGAGCCTAATTGGTGATATCCTCATATCCATCCCTAGTATTACCACTTTCGAAGTTAACCTAGAGTAGTATACTTCTTTAACCGATTACAGTATCATGATTGGGACCAAAACAACTACTTAGCGGCTAGTGGCAACATATGCCATCGTGGCATTGTTTTTGCCCTCGATCAGTATGATAATTATTTTACATCAAAAAAAAAAATATTATTGTTTAGCAATTCTAATGTTTACGTGCGTCCCTTGCCATTAAACAATGTTCAAATGTATAGATATTAGTTTTAGAAAATACAAGAGCTCGCCCCGTGATCGAAAACTCGACCAAAAGTATATATTGTGAAAACTTCTCTATTTTCACCCCACGCCGTAAATAAAACATGGTATTGGATTTTCTTCCATTTTTGATTTTGTTGTTATGTCGTCACCAACATGGCAACCCACAAGACCCATGTATTTTTTTTTAATTTAAAATTAATTTGTTGTGCTTATTTTTTAGCCTATTTTAATTTATAAAGGGATTCTGCACATCTACAGGTAAATATCTTTCTAACAGTATGCGAAAACTTTCCCAGCGATGCACACGAGCTGAGAAGAAAGGGTTTCAATAAACATGCTTTTCTATTACCGGTATAGAATCAGCCCTATGTGAAATCTCCATAAGAAAAGTTGATTTTTTCATTTTTGACCCAATTAACATAAATATTTTCAAAATACAAATAAAACCTGCACATATAGGACCGATAACCTTTCTTTTGTTACAACCATTTTAATTCGGTCCAGTAGTATGGTCTGGCTAGCTGTCATAAGTTTTACAATTTTTTTAATATATACAGATATTTTGATATATACATTTTATATTACATGATTAGCCATTATTTTATAAATCTCAAAAAAATTTTCGAATCTTTAGGGATATATTAAGTTAATATTGTAGCTACTATACCCGGGTTTTACAAGGGGGAGAGAACGTGGAATGGTATTTGTTTAGTTATGTTTACATTCTAATTCGTGAATTTACTTTATGAATTAGTTACACGTCCACTATTTTGAAACAAAACTTTATCTTGCCCTTTAGTTAATCGTACAAATCATTCAATGCCGACGATAACCATGGTTTTAACAGCTTGTAACGTAAAAAATGTAGTGACTGTAGAAAATACCTCTATAAAGCTGATAATACATGGATGACGTATTTAGTACAACCATCGACTTTCGGATACTAAAGTTATATACACAGTTTAAACTTAGGTGAAGATTTGTTCACTATTTACTTAAAACTGTGTTTAGAACGTTTATTATTTTTTTACTCTACGTTTAAATTTTCAAGTACGATTCTCAAACATTTAGTGAATTCAGAAAAAGTAATCTTGATCGGCGCTATAGTTTTCCCGGAGCCAGCAACGTTAAATTGACATATTCGCTTCTTGCGCCGTCACCGATATACACTGAGACTTTTAGACAGACAGAAATTGAGATAAGACTAGTTACGGCTCTTAGGCTACAAAACGAAAAAACCAATATCTCCATAATCCTGCGTTATGAATTAACTGTACTTTTGTTTGTATAAGATTATTATAGACTGGGACGGTAGCGTCGTCTTGTTACCAATCTACTAGGAGGTCACGAATTGTGGATATTTAAAGGCATGCACTGTGGATGCGATACTACCTGGTGTGGATTAACGTCCACACTAGTGAGTACTACGGCTATCCGCAGTACTATCCTGATAATTAGACTAATCCGTTAATACCAAGGCAAAAATGTGGTTCGGATTCCACTATAAACTGTAGGTCCCTTAGTTGTCATTGGCTGTATGGGCTATTAATTAACAGCTGTGTCTAAGGAATATGTCGGCCTAGTCAATAACAAGACTACAATATCACACCACTCATCCTACACTCATCTCCATTCATACTTGGCTTAAAATACCTACTTTGTATGGTCGCCATTTCAATGAAAAGTATTTTAAAAGTATCGTATGAATTCTGCCTAGTGCCTAGAAGCATTCAGCTCATTCGGAAACAAGGTTTTAGTATTGGAACATTTGTTTGTAGGCCAATGTTTAATCTCGGTTAGCCAACAGGGTGTTTCCAATAGCAGTTATCAGTATCGATGTCTATTAACAATGATCAAGCGACCCGGTTTAAAGATGAAGTTTAAGAAATCGGGATGAGACAGGAAGAAGATTCGGTGGAGCGTTAAACCGCGCCCAACTTTGGGCTCACAATACACGGCCCCGGTTGCGATTTTGACTTTTAAAGTTGCAACAGAAAAATTTTGGCTACTCTAGCACTTATTTATAAAATTTAAACGTCTCGGAGATTTTTTATAATCGTTAGTTTTTAATATTTTTGAATAAACTACATTGCCTAATAAATCTCTGTTATATATTATGAATGATAAAAAAATACTATATTGCCCTAACAAGTCTCTAACAACATACTAAACTAACAATATAAATATAATGTAAAAGTAACAATATAAATATAATGTAAAAGTAACAATATAAATATAAATGTACAATGTTTTGTAGTATTATTTAGTTTCTTTTATGTATTGGTTTAGCCTATTTGTTAAAAGTTCACTTTTAACAGTGTCGTTTGATAAAAACTTCTTTGTAACGTGATTTAAATATACACACTTTAAAAAGAAAACTGCACGTTTTTTGTAACGTAAATATTATAATAACTATGCTACAAAGTGTTATAATTAGTGCCAAAAGCAACGAATAAATAAATAAACAACAATTTGTGGAGAGATTTCGTAAACACAGCCTAACCGTGCATAGGCCATGTTAATTATTGTCTCTATTTAATATATTACAAGCTGCAATACCCGTGCTTTGCAACGGGAAGAAAATGTGACATATAGCCTAGAGAGCTATTAGAGCAATTCTGATGTGTGTTTTAAAATACTGCAACTCTATGAATTAGTTTGAAAATATAAACTGATTTAAAAGTGTAAACCTACTTACTTTCAAACTCCTACTTTTTATGTTAATAGATCCAAAAGTATATGACAACATACCTTAGTGTAGCAACAGCATCAATTGCTTCATATTGATGCTTCACGAATGACATGTTTTACCATAATTCTTCAACTTAAGTCAAGCCTCTTTACATGTAGCTTACTATATAAATTACAAAATGAAACTTTGAGCAATACTTTACAAAACGTATACAACCTTTCTTTAAAACCAAACATAACCCTCCTAAATCTACATAAAGCATCACAAACATCTTTTTCGAGTAAATAAACAAACACCAGTTCATTGTACTGACCAGCTGTTTCATTAACTAAATTAAATTAAATCATGCAAACTTTGAAAGCATGCCAGGCGTAGCCCTTTGGAAATCGGCCTGTGGGGCAGAGCCCTTAGGAAATTCGTCCATATCAATACTTTTCGGCAAATCTACACACTCTAAGCTTCATTTTGATGTTACATATGCCTATATTCTTATTTGGTAAATGGCCTTAAACGTTTACATAAAATTTGATTGTATCATTTTAATAATATAATAGATAGATAATAGATTGTGATAATTCATGGGAACACATAATTTGTCCCGGAGCTACTCTGCCTACCAAAACATAGTTGTAACAGTTAAAAAAGCTGCTATTTTGTATATGATTTAATGATGACTTAAAATGTTACAGCGTATTTATATTGATAAAATAATTGAACAACTAATTCTTGTGGACCAGCTGTTGACACTATTAATTAACATAATTTTTTTATAAAATGGTTCTGTCTTTAGACTACAGACTAGAGAAGTGTGATCTACATGTTCCATTTTTGAGTTTGAACAAACTTCCACAGGGCATTATCAAATTAGTTTAAAAGTTCCCTAGTTATTTTTGTGTATTCAATAAGATATCAGTTTAATTTCTTATGTATGTTAATCAATTAGATACTCAATTGTATGTTACAGCATGTGTTCCTAGGAGAAAAGCAACAGCTAGAAGTTGACCCAGACCATAAAACAGCTCTCCTCTCCGCCAATCATGAGCCCAGGATACTGCTAGACTACAATGTAGTAAGTCACTTTGCCACTCTTATGTTATAACAAATCTATATATTTTATCATACATGTACTATCTAACGAAATGTATAATTAAATTTACAAGTTCAACAAGGCCAATGTACAATTATTTTATTTTTTGCTTTGCTTAAATGTGTCATAGGGTTCAGTGAAAAATAAGTTATCCCACAGTTTTAATTAATTGGCCATCTAATATGGAGAGCTTCTCTTACATTTGATTCATCCTTTTCCTTTATTCCTTGGGCAAGAAATTCTAAACTGTAATTATAATGGCCTTTTAATATTTTTGGATATACCGGTATAGAAATCCGTCTCCTATTCCAGCTTATTGTTCACAACATTATCTCTGATCTATATACTCTACAAATATGAGGAAACTCCCTTTTACTCTTGTGGCTGTGAAGCATTCAAAGGAGGAAATGCCTATCTTGCTTTTCTGGGATTGATCATAGAACAACTACCAAAACCATAAAAAAATCATTTACTGTGATAAATACTCTTGTATTATGTATCACGTAACCAAAAAGAAATTAAAATGTTTACTGACCATTAGTAACGGAAGTGAAGGGAAGCAATTACTACTAAGGGCTTCTAGTATTAATTTAATTAATTTCACGATGGAAGTTTCAAACATCATTGTATGGTAAGAAATGACAACTTTGCATTGAGCCGACCCCTCGCACCGCCCCCAGACGAACAACTATTGGAAGCATGCCCCCCATAGTGACAGTGCGAGTGGCCGCCCCACATCCCTAACAAAGGTGAAAGGCCGTGGGTGAATATCAAAAACAAAACAAACAGTTGTCAACAAAGCCTATAATTAATCTCAAAATTCAACAATTAAAAACAATCAACAATAAACAACAAAGCAGCCATCCAAAGAATTATTTTATCAAAAATATTTAAATACTTTAAGCTTTCTCAAAACTTTACCCTCCTGAACTTACAAATTTAGTGGTAACTGTGGATGTTAGGCCTAACAATAATTAAATAGGATTGTACGGTTATATTAAACTTTAAATAAATTAACAAGCAATAAATAAAAATTTGGATACTATAAAAATAAATAACAATCAAATAAATAACAGTTCCTATGAAATACTAGAATGGATAATCAATCATTTTGGGGCCCCTTAAAAAACAGTCCTTTAAAAATGTTCATAATTTAGATATTCTACAGTATAACTTGCGGAAAAGTGGCACAAGATTCCTTGACGGTGGCAGGCGGTGGGTGGCTTAGTGGTCCATACTGGAAGATGGAGGCATAGTGGTCCCCGGAGATGCTGGGCCGTTGGCAGCCCAAGGAGGTAGAAGATGTAGTGCCCCTCCGGGCGAACCTCTCCGAGGACAGCGGCAGGTGAAGCCTCACATCTGGGACCTCATCTGACGACTGGCAAAACACTTATCTACATGACTGGATCAAAACGTTGTAAAGTTGAATAAAACAACATGAGGAACAACGGCATAAAAACGATTTACACGGATACAATTTTTTATGCAAACAATCACAAAGTCTGAGATGGTTGACAGTCGCACGCCATCTGACCCCCAAACGTCAGGCGGACATTGACTCTGGGTTGCAGGTTTGCTGCCCGACCCAAACCGACTGAGTTCCGGCGCAAAGCCAGTACTCGCACTATACAAAAAACACTGAGGCGTGACATTGGTGGGACGCTTGGTGGACAAGTCACGGCTCAACCTCCCCCCCCAAAGGAGGACTTCCTCTCCAAAAAAAAAGAAAAACAACCTCTCCCAATACTTAGAAGATCTCAACACCAAGGGATCAACTCAAGTGTCTGAAGTGGGGAACGCCAAAAGTCTTTCAACTGAAGGGACTACTCACCCCCAGGGTTTGCACTGGCCAGTGCTGGAAAATTTACTAGGGAAAAATCTTCAGCAGCGCACAAGGGACAGAATAGGTGATCAAGCTCTCTGGCCCAGTGCACTTCCCACTCAGACACAAGAGTAACGAAAGATGACCTACGGAATTGTTCCCCGGAAAGGCTTCAGATGAGAAATGTGAGCCCTCCGGAAAACTTCTCCAGTCTGCGGATTTCCAAGCCGCACGGAGACAGGAGTCAAGAACTTCAAGATGCGGTGGGGACCTGACCACCGATGAGACAACTTAGCGGCTCTCTTGTCCACGGCCGAACTGACCGGATGAGCCTTACAGAAAACCAAATCCCCCACCTGGAAAGGATTGTCCAACCGACCTCGATTGTGCTTCCTCCGGACCAATTCCCTAGCTCGGATCAAGTTCCTCCTAGCCGCCTGCCAAGTTGCCTTGACATTGGCAGCACCAGGGGGTGGCAGAAGGTCGCCAATTTTCCACACATTTGCCAAAGGATTATTGGGTGGATAGCCCAACAACAGCTCGAAAGGGACCGCCTTGTGACTCTCATGGTGTGCAGTATTGAAAGCAAATTGAATCCAAGGAAGTTCCTGATCCCAGGTGGTCTGCTTGTCAGCATGAAAAGCTATGAGAGCGGATCGAAGATTTCTGTTGAACCTCTCAGCATGGGAAGGCTGTGGATAGTAGGGAGAAGTGGTCACATGGCGGATACCGTGCCCAAAGCACATTCTTTTGAAAAGGTGAGAAACGAACTGAGTTCCGTTGTCGGAAACAATGGTGGCGGGTATTCCAAAGTGTTGAAACAAATGGGTACGAAGTGCCTGCACGGTGAGCTGTGCAGTGGCGTTCCTCAAAGGAAAAAGCCAACAAAACTTGGAGAAGGCATCCACACAAACAAGTAAGAATTTGTTTCCTGACTTGCTACGTGGGAGAGGCCCTACATAGTCTATGAAAACCTTCTCCAAAGGTCTCTCCGCCACCTCAGATGACAACAACCCATACTTGGTATTCTGAGCAGGCTTGCTTAGCGAGCATGTTTGACAAGAACGTACTCGTGCCGCAATGTCCCTGTCCATACCCTTCCAGATGAACATGTCCCTAACCTTCGCAATGGTCTTATGAATCCCTAAGTGCCCACCCACAGGGGAAGAGTGAAAGTACGCAAAGACCATGGGTACAAGAAGACTAGGCAGCACAACCTTGGGTTTACCTCGCTGTCGGTCTCGACAACAAAGGGCACCCTGGGACAGAAAATACGGGGGGTGGGCTCCCCCGTTTTGAAGCTCACCAATGATCTTAGCCAGCTCGGGATCTTTTAGCTGATGTGGGATGAACTCAGAAAAGGCGAGGGGAAACTCCAGGAGCACGGCACACCCTGTGTGCTCCTCCTGATCAGAAGGTTGGTCGTCAGGTGAATGGTACATCCTGGATAAAGTGTCAGCAATCACATTCTGCGTGCCTCGAACATGTTGCACTTGGAATTTGAGGGAAGATATTTGGACCACCCAACGACCAATTTTCCCAAGCTGGCGAGGATGTGCAAGGAGCCACGAGAGCGCTTGGTTGTCGGTTTCCAGCAAAAACTCTTTGTGTTCCAAAAAACGTCTGAACTTATTCACTCCAAACACGACAGCCAAACACTCTAACTCATACACAGAAGAGCTTTTCTTTTCGCATGGGTTCAAAGTGCGTGAGGCATACGCAATTGGCTGCCTAACACCATCTACCTCTTGAGACAACACAGCCGCAATTGCGACGGAGGAAGCATCGGTTTGCAAAACAAACTTTTGACTGAAATCTGGCATCGCCAAGACCGGAGGTTGCATGATAGCTTCTTTCAGAAGATCAAAAGACATCTGTTGTGCTTCACCCCAAACAAACTTGGCGCCCTTCTTCCGAAGCTCATTGAGAGGAGCCGCCAACTCAGCCACATTGGGGATGAAGCGCCGGTAGAAACCCACCATTCCAATGAAACGGGCAATGCCTTTGACATCTCGGGGAGGAGGAAACTCCCTGATAGCCTGGGTTCTAGCCGGATCGATACAGACACCTCGAGATGATACTAGATGACCTAGGAAAGAAATCTCAGCCTGAGCAAAACTAACTTTCTCGGGATTTACGGTAAGGCCAGCCCTAAGCAACCTATTCATGACTTCCTCAAGATGAACCAGATGGTCTTCAAAGCTCTCACTGTACACCAAAAGATCGTCAAGATAGTTGAACACAAATTTGAACTTGACGTCATGGAAGATGGAGTCCAGAAGTCTGGTGAGGGTCTGGGCCCCCACAGCTAGGCCCATGGGAACACGTGTGAACTGGTACAAGTTCCACGGAACGCAGAAGGCAGTGAGAGGTCGAGATTCAGGTTTCAAGGGAATCTGATGGTAAGCCTGGTTCAAATCAAACACGGAAAAATACTTGGCCTTACCGAACCAATCGAACGCAGAGTGCAAATCAGGGAGAGGGACAGAGTCAATTTCAATCTGAGCATTCAACTTGCGATAATCTAGAACCATTCGAGACTTGCCATTTGACTTTGGAACTAGAAAAGCTGGACTTGCGTAACTTGAGCGAGAAGGCTCAATTACCCCATTTTCAAGAAGCTCATTGATGATTCCACGGAGTGTCTCCATTTTGGGTGGAGCAAGCTTGTAAGGATGAGACCGAACTGGACGGGTGTCAGTCAAACGGATTTCGTACTCCAAAAGATTGGTGACTCCAAGCTTTGGCGTCAGCACCTCAGGAAAACGAGAACACAAAGTTCTGATTGCTTCAGCCTCACCAGGAGTCAGATGCCCTAATGGATCAACTTTTGGTTTGCTGGGTGTCTCAGGCTCTACCACAGCTGCACCATCCACAATTTCATCTGCGAAAGGAATGACCACCCGTCTTGCGAAACGAAAGAAGCACTGGCCTCTGCCCAAATCCAAAATCAGGCCACAATGCTTGATGAAATCCGCTCCCAAAATGACAGGAATGCAAAGGTCCTTGGCTACCCAAAAACTCCAAACCCAAGAAAAATGTTCAATCTTGAATTTCAAACGGGCTTCATAGATGATGGGAAGTGGGGATTTTGATGCAGTCCAGCAGATGTGGGTACTTTGCTCAACTTGCTTGATTAGCCCAGAAGATTTTAGATTTTCAAACAGGGAAAGGGAAATGAGACAACGGGCTGACCCAGAATCCACAAGGGCCTTCTGCACCGTTTTACCTAAGAAGATGTTGAGTCGTGGGCAAGTTGAGCGCGCCGCTTTCACTCCCATGCATGCAAGCTCCCTCATACCCCGCGACAGAGGCTCCCCGAACCCAGCACTCCCAGAAGGGGCAGTACTCACAGAAACCAAATTCTTACTGACTTTCTCCAAAACAGCTTTCTCACAGGGCGGTTTAGGCAAACTTTCCCTTTGTGAGCAGCTCAGGCTTTTGGACAAAGTCCCAAGATTAACCCTCTGACGACACTCTCGTCTCATGTGACCTGTTTGACCACAGCCAAAGCAAACAATAGGATGCCTCTGTCTCTGCGGTGTTTCAGGACCTTGACCCACGGAAGCTACAACGGGATGGAGAACAGTCTGGGGAAGATGCCCCGAAACATGCTCCCTCTGACAATCAGCGTCTTGAACGCTCCGTGAAAGGATGACCAACCTATCCAGGTCTGCAAAAGAAGAAGGCTTTGGAGCGAAAATCAGTCTGGACCGCTCCTCAGGCTTCAACCCCTGCAAGACAATGTCCACCAGTTGGTTTTCAGGGATGCCCAGCCGTAGGACACGCCACACGCCACGAATGTCACCCACATACTGACTGAGAGTTTCGTCAAATTTTTGAGGACGAAACACCCTCTCAACTTTCAATCTCTCCATGACCCTGAAGGGGACAAAGAGCTCAAGCACTTCACTGTGAAAAATGTCAAAGTTTACTCCCCGTTTCAAACAATCTAACAATTTGTCACCAAGAGGTCTCAGGCAGAGTGGAACCAGCAGTTCCAACACTACTGAGTCCTCCATGCCTGGGAACTCCTTCAGGTGCAACACCTTTCCCAAAAACTCTAACAAAGGTTCCACCTCTAAACCATCAACTGGGCGAATGTCGCTCAAAACCCCAGCAATGGGATTGGGCAGTGGAGCAAACAAACCCATTTTGTTCTCAGTCAGTCGGCCTACTTTCAAAACACACACAAACAAATTTTACAACAAACAATTCACAAACTTAACTAACTAAAGGCTCTTGACAGAAATGCCTAGAGTCAGATGAGGTCCCAAACAGAAGAACCTGCCCATACACACCGCCTTAGCCACCAAAACAAAAACACGGACTTACACTCACCACATACACACATACATACATACACTAAACGACAACACCTAACATTTGTGTGATGAGGGAAACACACACACACAGTTTCAATTTTGGGTTTGGCCATGCTTTTGACACTCTTGCTCCCAAAGGATGCAAGTAATTAACCAGATTCCACCCGGTGACTCGGCCAAGGGCGAGCTCCTAATAAAAAAACTACAACAACAGTGTGCTTACCCCAACACGACAACATTTCTTCAAAAAATTCCTAAGACTGCCAGACCAGCATCACCCAAAAATCAAATCCAACCACGGCCCTTCGTGGATAGAGCACAAAAAACCACGCTCTGCTACCATCTGAGCCGACCCCTCGCACCGCCCCCAGACGAACAACTATTGGAAGCATGCCCCCCATAGTGACAGTGCGAGTGGCCGCCCCACATCCCTAACAAAGGTGAAAGGCCGTGGGTGAATATCAAAAACAAAACAAACAGTTGTCAACAAAGCCTATAATTAATCTCAAAATTCAACAATTAAAAACAATCAACAATAAACAACAAAGCAGCCATCCAAAGAATTATTTTATCAAAAATATTTAAATACTTTAAGCTTTCTCAAAACTTTACCCTCCTGAACTTACAAATTTAGTGGTAACTGTGGATGTTAGGCCTAACAATAATTAAATAGGATTGTACGGTTATATTAAACTTTAAATAAATTAACAAGCAATAAATAAAAATTTGGATACTATAAAAATAAATAACAATCAAATAAATAACAGTTCCTATGAAATACTAGAATGGATAATCAATCATTTTGGGGCCCCTTAAAAAACAGTCCTTTAAAAATGTTCATAATTTAGATATTCTACAGTATAACTTGCGGAAAAGTGGCACAAGATTCCTTGACGGTGGCAGGCGGTGGGTGGCTTAGTGGTCCATACTGGAAGATGGAGGCATAGTGGTCCCCGGAGATGCTGGGCCGTTGGCAGCCCAAGGAGGTAGAAGATGTAGTGCCCCTCCGGGCGAACCTCTCCGAGGACAGCGGCAGGTGAAGCCTCACATCTGGGACCTCATCTGACGACTGGCAAAACACTTATCTACATGACTGGATCAAAACGTTGTAAAGTTGAATAAAACAACATGAGGAACAACGGCATAAAAACGATTTACACGGATACAATTTTTTATGCAAACAATCACAAAGTCTGAGATGGTTGACAGTCGCACGCCATCTGACCCCCAAACGTCAGGCGGACATTGACTCTGGGTTGCAGGTTTGCTGCCCGACCCAAACCGACTGAGTTCCGGCGCAAAGCCAGTACTCGCACTATACAAAAAACACTGAGGCGTGACATTGGTGGGACGCTTGGTGGACAAGTCACGGCTCAGCATGCAGTTTAAGTTAAATAGTAATTTCTTACAAAGAGCCATAATGGTTTAAAATTCTAAATCGTAATGTTGTACACGTTTTTACCCCGATTACAGTTCATCAGCATGCGCTGGTTCTAGATCGAATCCTGCTGTTCATAATCCGTAAATTGGTTTAAAGTATGTAAACTATAAAGATACAGTATATTTTGTCATGGTTCTGCATACGTGAAATTTTAACTGCATATTAGTTCCATACTACTATTGACTGTTGTTAAAGATACTACCTAGTTAAATATCACACATATAACACAATTGACAAAGGTTACCCAGATTCACTACAGACAGTTATTGTTGTGAGCCCAAGATAGCTGTGTAATGTGGAGTGATGAATGATGTGCAGATGTAAAGGCATCACGCCATTAACTACGGATAGTGACTATGTCACAGCCTCACACACAGCGTAGCGTCTTGTGACATCACTTGCAAAACTGTCACTTCTGATAGGTATTTAAAGTATTTGACAAATTCAATCTTTTTGTCAATTTAATCTAAAATAAATTAGGATTTTTTGGTTACTATTTTATTATTTTTTTTTAGAGATTTGTTTACTGGACATAGGTAGTCATTTTAGAACATATCAATGGATCTTATTTTGTTCGTTTATGTATACCACTCTGGAATTGTATAACATCTTCTAAAAGTAAACAGTTCATAGTCTTCTTGTAATTATGAAAAATTATCTTATTGTTGGAAAGCATTGTTAACAGCCCAATGACAAGGTCAGTAAAGAAGCTAAGATGGAATCATAGTCATCCTGCAATTCGTTCATGCTTGGTTCTAAAAAGTCAAGGATGCATAGCCATTTTTGGGGAAATGGTTTTTAGTGGTCAAAGAGACAATGTGTAAATTGAAGAAAATGTTTAATATAAGGAAACCCAAATATATAACTTAAATGAAAGTTGAAACAGTTTTGTCCCTGAGTCAAGTAATATTTCATCAGTAGTTGATTAAGAAAAACATTGAGTATTCTCTTGCTTTCCTCAGGGTATAAAAGCGTACAAGGACCCTTTAGCTGGCCGGTGCTACGTTGAACGTTTGGATGAGGGAGAGCAGACCAGACAGCATAGTCACAATAACAGACCTAGAGGACGAAAGAACTTCATTGTTGGACGGAACTTCACCAAGTATGAGGTAAAGAATGAAGTAGTTTATATTATAGCGTTAATATTATAGAATCACTATAAGTGGTCCTTTCAACCTGGCTTGAATGAGAATTCGACATAATTTACAAAAAAAAGTAATTGATATCAGCACTCTCTGTTTTGGCTGAATTCCTACATTGATTTTTAATTCTAAAACTTGTTAACATTATAATACAGGAATGGATATCTAGGCCTCTTCATAGTCAACGACAGAACCCAGCCACTATTCAAACAATCCTGATAAATAGACAGTATTTTAAGATCTTTGGCTGTAATATTAAAACAAAAACATGATGGTCTGCAAACTATTATATGCCTAAACAGCAAAACCAAATACCTACTTTTTATTCCTGTATAAAAGTGTAGGCGTTGCTAGACAATATCAAGGTACCATCATCACACTTATTACAAACTGAGTTATTTAGTGAGTTGGTGGCTCAGTCGGTAGCGACGCGGCCTAAGGCAGCGATTTCGTGGGTTCAGATCCTGATCACTGCCGAAAACATTTTATCAGTACAGATCATCTTTGTACTGTACCGGCTCACTCCGAGAGGTTACTGACAAACCTGAGGTGTTGAGGTTAGGGCAAATGCAAGGTTGAAAGAGGCTGCAAACCTCTTAAAAAAAGAAAACTTTGGGGCTTTCACTTCAAACCTAACCAACGTTATCCAAGTTACATGTCTTCGCTGTTCCCAGTTCTTGAGAGTGGCTGGTCTCCAAGTTGTCAACTTCTGCCGTGGAACACAAGTGCACGTCTACGAGTACAAACTTCCCTCAGCTGATGACCTGCTGGTGTCCAATGAGATACAAGAAGATGAGCGGCCGCGGAGGAAGAGGCAGACAGGCTATAGTCCTAGAAGATACCGGGGACAAGCACAGACGCAGTATGTGGCATTCAACAGAGAAGGCGAAGGCAACAAGAGTGGGATAGCTGAGGCAGTTGCCCAACCTGACCTGTCTAGAGCCACTGTATGTAAGTAAAATAGCCCCGCCGCAGCAAACCTGCAGACTAAGCGGATTTCCATTTTCCTGATTTGATTTTCACATTAATCTATTTTCATAACATTAGATTTAATGAATACCTAGGTTTGCTGCCACAGCCCTCAGTGAGGGTACTAAAGTGTGTTTTTAGAAAAACAATAGCTTAGTTTAAAATAAATAAATTCAACAAGTTTGATCAAAATATAGGCCTATCCATAAAAGAAGCAAACTACAACAGTTTACTTACTCTCCAAAAAAAATAACACTTTGAAATTTTTGATTTTAAATAACTGTACAAAAACACTTTAATGTAGACCTACAGTACTAAATTAATTGGTTTTTTACCTCTTCAAAATAGTTTATAGAAAAATTAGCGTGATCGGACCATGATAATGAGGTTTTATGGGCTAATAATTGGGTTTTCACTCTATAAAACCTCGTTCCCATGGTCCGATCAAGCTGGTTTGCCAACATTTAAATTAATTCCACCCAACACATTCAAGCACTAATTTAATCTAAACCAGTCAAAAATTATTTAAAAGCGATCGCATCACCTACGGTAATAGATACTTCCCTAAATGGGCACAGAGAATCAGCCTGTACAGAGTCTTCCCTTGAAAATCTGCTTCCTTGCATAGTAGAGATAGTGGAGTACAGACAGAGGAGTGAGAGAGGCAGTCACCTTTTATTCAGGATTATTGCTGTAAGCATATATGTGATTGCAATAAAACACAAAAGGTTCTATATAACTGGAACTGGAACTCATATACAGCATGTCCATGAACTCTCTACTGACCTTACCTAAGGAGGATGTCCTATCAATCCTTGACCAAAGACAAAATAAAATGTCAAGTTAAACATTTACTTAAAAATTGCCCTTACAGACACCATTTTGAACATAAAATTGTTGTTTTATTCGATATCAGATTTTGATTTGTGAAGAAAATTATTTTTTTATTAGGTACCTATGTTTTTAGTTTGAAAATGTAATTTTTATCCATTTTTTGTCAAGTAACGTTAGGTAACGTGCATGGGATGATAACATATTGATTATCCATACTTTCTAGGCATTTAATTATAGTTACATTGGTTAAAGGACGATTTACAGAAAAATGCATGTTTGGGAATAATGATACAATGTATTTTTTTAGCTGGAACAAATGGAATGGGACAGGCTCAGAGTCAATCAGGATCTGGCGGCTGTGAAGAGTGTTTTCCTCCAGGATTTGTCGGAGGGTATGGCCCAGCACAATCTCAAGCAGGTGCAGTGTATCCTACAGGTCCAGATGGAAGACCCGGACAACCGAGTATTCCAGGAAGATTTCCTCAAGGTCATTACCCAGGATACCCTAGTGGAACAACATACCCAGGTGTAGGAAGCCCAGGTATTGGTGTGCCAGGAAGTTATCCAAGTGGCACACCAGGTATTTATCCAATTGGCCCACCAATTACTGGCCTTCCTGGACAGGATGGAAGAGGATACCCTGGACCTGGACCGGAAACCTTCACAAGACCTGGGCAACCAGGAATTTTAACAGGCATGACAGGAAGGGATATTCCTGGTGCATACCCAACTGGACCACAAGGATCTGCTTATCCTGGTTTCCCAGGAACATACCCTGGAGCAGAAAGGCCGGGAATGGGGATACCTGGAAGATATCCTGGAACAGTTTTTTACCCAGGTTCTATACCGGGAGGATATCCAGGAACAGGAGGCTACCCAGGTGCAAGTGTTCCAGGAGGATATCCAGGAGCATCCGGACCAGGTGGATTCCCAGGAACAGGAATACCTGGTGGTTATCCAGGAACTGGCGTTCCAGGAGCACAACCAGGAGTTGGAGTCCCAGGAGTCAAACCAGGGGCTGGAGTCCCAGGAGTCAAACCAGGGGCTGGATTTCCAGGAGGACCAGGAGCACAACAAGGGGCTGGAGTGCCAGGAGGATACCCAGGAACTGGTGTTGCAGGAGCACAACCAGGGGCTGGATTGCCAGGAGGATATCCAGGAATTGGAGTTCCTGGAGCACAACCAGGGGCTGGATTTCCAGGAGGACCAGGAGCACAACCAGGGGCTGGAGTGCCAGGAGGATACCCAGGAACTGGAGTGCAAGGAGGATATCCGGGACCAGGAGTACAGGGGGGATATCCAGGAACTGGAGTACAAGGAATGGTCCCAGGAGCTCAAACAGGAGTTGGGGTTCCAGGAACTCAACCAGGTGTTAGAGGTCCGGGAGGATATCCAGGAGCATCGGGACCAGATGGATATCCAGGACAATCATCTCCAGGTGGTTATCCAGGAACAGGAGGGTCAAGAACATATCCAGGAGATGGAATTCCAGGAGGGTCTCCAGCTGGAAAAGTCCCTGGCGGATACCCAAGTGCTAGTTTCCCAGGAGGATATCCAGGAGCTAGTGTCCCAGGAGGTTATCCAGGCGCATCTGTTCCAGGCGGATATCCAGGAATCCCAGGAGGACAGCCAGGGGCTGGAGGTCCAGGAGGTTACCCGGGTACAGCAGTGATAGGAGGTTATCCAGGAACTGGAGTTCAAGGACGACCAGGAGCACAACCAGTAGCTGAAACACCAGGAGGATATCCAGGAAGTGGAGTTACAGGTGCACAACAAGGGGCAGGAGTTCCAGGAGGATATCCGGGAACAGGAGTGATAGGAGGTTATCCAGGAATGGGAGTTCCAAGTGTACAACCAGGGGCTGGAGTTCCAAGAGGACCAGGAGCACAACAAGGGACTAGAGTGCCAGGAGGATATCCAGGAAGTGGAGTTACAGGGGCACAACAAGGGGCAGGAGTTTCAGGAGGATATCGGGGGGCTCAAGGGGGATATCCGGGAACAGGAGTGTTGGGAGGTTATCCAGGAATGGGAGTTCCAGGAGTACAACCAGGGTCTCAAGGGGGATATCCAGGAGAATATCCAGGAATTGGAGTTCCCGGAGCACAACCAGGGGCTGGATTTCCAGGAGTACAACAAGGGGCCGGAGTGCCAGGAAGATACCCAGGAACTGGAGTTGCAGGAGCACAACCAGGGGCTGGATTGCCAGGAGGATATCCAGGAATTGGAGTTCCCGGAGCACAACCAGGGGCTGGATTTCCAGAAGGACCAGGAGCACAACCAGGGGCTGGAGTACCAGGAGGATACCCAGGAACTGGAGTTGCAGGAGCACAACCAGGGGCTGGATTTCCAGGATATCCAGGAATTGGAGTTCCCGGAGCACAACCAGGGGCTGGATTTCCAAGAGGACCAGGAGCACAACCGGGGGCTGGAGTTCCAGGAGGATATCCAGGAAGTGGAGTTGCAGGAGCACAACCAGGGGCTGTAGTCCCAGGAGGATACCCAGGAACTGGAGTTGCAGGAGCTCAACCAGGGGCTGGTGTGCCAGGATATCCAGGAATTGGAGTTCCCGGAGCACAACCAGGGGTTGGATTTCCAGGAGGACCAGGAGCACAACCAGGGGCTGGATATCCAGCTGCAGGGATCTTAGGAGGATATCCAGCTCCAAGAATTCCGGGTGTTCAGCCTGGAGATTATCCAGAAGGTGGTATCTCTGGAGGATACCCAGGGACACGTTTGCCTGGATCAGGAATGCAAGGAGTTGGTGTACCAGGAGGAAGCATGCCAGGAATGTCAGGAGTAGGTATGCCAGGAACGGGTATGCCAGGAACAGGAATCCCAGGGTTTCCCTCAGATGCAGGGACAAGATCACCTTCAGGCATGTTTCCTGGTATGCAACCTGGAGGAATGGGAATGCCGGGGAGTGTTGCATCATCACAAGGAGGAACATTTCCAGGTGTACTACCAGGAGCAGGAATACCAGGTAGTATGACAGGGGTCGGTACGGGGGGAATTCCTCCTGGTGGATACCCAGGTGGGTACCCCGGAAGTGTGTCTGGAATCGGGGGAGGCATCCCAGGAGGGTATCCAGGCAGTTCAAATGCTGGTGTAGGATTTCCTGGAATGTACCCTGGAACAGTTGGAACATCTGGTCAATATCCTGGAACAGTAATTCCAGGCTATCCTGGGCCTCAGTCATACATACCTGGATACCCAGGAGTTGGTACAGGAACTGGTACTGGAGTTGGAAGTGGAGTAGGAACTGGTACTGGAGTTGGAAGTGGAGTAGGAACTGGTACTGGAATCGGCACAGGTATAGGAACAGGTACAGGACAAGGGGCTGGAGTAGGAACAGGAGTTGGTACTGGTGTCAGTGGTTATATTCCTGGGACATCTGTCAGTGGTCAAGCAGGGGGTGATACTCAGGCTCAAACGAGTATTCAGTATGAGGGAAAAGAAACCAAACTTGGAGCCTCGTCTCAAGGCAAACTGGGTGATGGAATATCACAAACTCAAGTATCTGGCACTTATTCTGGTTCTGGTGTGTTTTCTGCACAGGCACAAACAAGCGACAAAGATAAAGGAGCTCAAAGTCAGATAGATGGAGGAGAACATGGTGCAACTAGTCTCGCACAAGGTAGGGCTGGTGCCAGCATGTCTCAAGCACAAGTTCAACTGGGTAATGATAAAGGAGCTACAATTGCAGAATCACAAAGCACAGGATCAAATTTTGGTACAAACACGCAAGTGCAAGCAGGATTGAAGGGGGGGTTAGCCGATGCCCAATCTAAAGGACAGGGCAGTACTCAAAGTCAAGCTCAAATTGGATTTACACCATACCAAAAGGGGCTTACCCCAGAACAAGAATCTGTATTTAGGGGAGGTGGAAGTGCATCCTCTCAAACAGGTGCCATTTCTGGACAATCACAATCTCAAATCCAAGGATCATTCAAGTACGGAGTGACATACTCTGGTGCCGCTCAAGCAGGCTCAGGAGTAACTGGGATGGTGTTTCCAAAACTTAATCTTACTTCTGGTAGTACATTTTACAATTTTTCAGATCCCAGCAGTAGAAGTGGCCCTGTTTCTAGTGACCCAAATGAGAATATAGAAATTCCTGACAAATCAAATCCGTTATATCCTCCTCCAGATCCATTACTTGCATCCCAGAACAATGCTCCAGATGTAAACAGTCCTCCAAGTAGCCCGCAGAACTACTATCCACCTAACGAAGGGCTACAAAGACGTGAAAACAACAACTTCAACTACAATACTGGCAGTTTACAATCTAGCCCTCAAAACACTAAAGAAAAAGAAGATGAGGAAGACGATGATTATGATGATGAGTATGATGATGACGAAGACTTGATGCTTCCAACTAGTCAGTTGTCATCTCGCGCAGGAAGTCATACGACTCCTAAACCAACTCCTGTGCCGAAAGTTCAACCGAGTCAAACCCAACACGTCATACTCGGACCAAATGTTCCACATGGTGCTAAAGTCATAAGAGATTCTGTCCAAGCAGGTGATGTGTTCCAGCCTGGGCAGCAAGTCCCTGGGACTGCATACACTGTACCATCAGGCTTCAGAGGGAAAGTGAAATCTGTCGCTGGTGACACCACAGAAGCCAGCGCTTCTGGTGGGGGCCAAGCTCAAACACAGACTGTTCTCTTGACTCCCGGCGCTGGCAACATCACTTACATCGACAAATCACAATCCAAACAAGAACTGTTGGGTAGGGAGAGCTATTACAACAAGAAATATACACCAAACCCTCAACTGAACCATCACTACACGAGAAGTGACTACAGGAACAAATATGGCACAAGAGCATTGTCTACAAACTATGAACAGCCTTCAAACAAAAACTATGACAGTTTTGTGACTGTGACAAATACTGAAACTGGTGAGTTGAACGGAGACAAAGTTGATCAGAAAAAGAAAGTATCTCATACTTACTACACAAAGTCTTCAACATGTGGCTACTTTACTTTTACGTGTAATGCAATTCATGGTTCCAACGGAAGGACAAAAATTTGCAAGCCAAACCCTCCAACTTATGCTGATGGCACTCCTTGTGCATACCATTAAATTATAATACTATTCATTAAGTACAGTATTCTTAATCTTAACTTCTTAGTTCTAAAATCTTTATTTTTTACCAGTGAAATGAATTTTCTTAAATTCATCAGATTACTATTAATAGTCCGATCACAAAATTTAGGCAGTTTAAGGAGAAGGTTCCCCCCACCACTTAGCTTAGCGTAATGTATATATCAGCTGATCATATGTCAGTAGTTGTAGCATTGACTATTGAGATTGTAGTTTCAATGTTAGGATGAGGTGGAGGGGATGGAATCACTTCCCCTCAAACTGCCTCAATTTTGTGAACAGGGTATAGTCAGCTGACTTCAGTTACGAGGCATGTTTTTTAAGTAAGTACCGTTTTTAAATTTCTCCGTTCCTGCACTGCGGTTGGCTTTGACATTTGCGCTGTGTTTGGGCATCTATTGCTAAGACCTAGCTGGAAATTCGAGAATAATCGGCCGTGTTTACATCCGATTTCAAGCATTCAAAATGGTGCCACCAATTGAGACTGCCGCCTACTGTGAAGTGCGCGCTGTAATTAAATTTTTAAGTTCTTAAGGTGTGAAAGCTATTTAATATCATCGACAAATTAGTGAAATCTATGGCGAGAACATTATGAGTGACGAAATGGTACACAAGTAGGTAAGGGCATTTTAAGAAGGCCCCACCAACGTTCATGATAAATAAATAAATAAATAAATAAAAATGTCTTTATTCAGCGATTTTCTGATGAGCAAGGCACTGGGTACAGGAACATTAATGACGCCGCCCAGTGCGTTACTCATCATTAACGTTGGTAGGGCTGTATTTTAAATGCCCTTATCCACTTCTGTACCATTATGGCACTCATAATGTTCTCGCCATACATTTCACTAATCTGTCGATGATATTCAATACCTTTCACACCTTAAGCAGTTAAAAATCTAATTACAGCGTGCACTTCACAGTCGGCGGCAGTCTCAATTGGCGGCACCATTTTGAATGCTCGAAACCAGATGTAAACGCAGCCGATTTTTCTCGAATTTCCGGCTAGGTCTTACCAATAGATGCCTACACACAGCGCAAATGTCGAAATTACCAATCGCAGTGTTGGAACGGAGAAATTTAAAAACGGTACTTTCTTAAAAAACATGCCTCATATATTTTTTAAAATAGAGTTTTAATAAAAAAATAAATAAATAAGACGTGAAATTTTTGAAGAGATTTCACTTTTTGAGTCTTCATTGATGTATTAATCGTCTATTTAAAATATATTTCAAACGAGCTATTGCCTTGGTGGTGACTGACAAATGGTTAGTATAGTTACTTGAAATTGATAAGACTTAAAATAGGATCCAGCAAAACTATTTAAGGCTCTCTTTAGTAAAACTTACAACCAGAAAGTTGTTAAGGTTGTAATATGTTCACACAGCCTTGATAAACATATTTTATGTAAATTCTTAGGTATTTTACAATGATAAGGATGTGTTGTCAATAATTTACCTATACACTGCCAATACTGTATCACAAACTGCCTTTAATTATAGTGTACTGACTTCAATTAATCATATGTACCGGTAATTGAATCAATCCCAAATTTAGGTTTATGAATCAGTATTAATGAGAGAAAAAAGTGTTATAGTAAGAAAAGAGTTGAAAATATTATTGAAGTAATTTAAAAATCAGTTTTGTAGAAATCTAAAAATTTTAGTTGCTCTAATAAAATGTGTCAAGGTGTGGAGTTGCAACATCATTGGTACTTAGGCTCTCTCATAGATAATATCACCTTTACACTAGTATTCTTAAAAAATAGTTTTAAATTAATAATGTTCATAATTATTTATAATGACTGTAATTGATAACTTTGATTAATAAAAGTATTATAAAAAACACAAAAACAATAATTTATTGAGTAGAAACAACTTTGCCGGTAACCTCAGAAGCTATAATTTTTTAGTTGTCCTCTTTAAAAAGCAATAAAATAGGTGGTGCAGGATGATTCAATTTTACTTAACATTAGGTAGGCCTATGTAAATCTTATTTTGTGTGAAATAAATAAATCCATGAAAGGTTTGCTGGATTTGAATTAGAATTACTAACAAGACTATCGGTTACCAAGTTAAAATTATTTACCTTAGATATTAATTCACAATGATTTTACTAGAACTTCGATTTAAAAGTTTACCGTAGTATAAACCATTAAACCTATTGTACAAATTTTAATAATATATTACCGGTAGCTAGTTGTTATACAATTTTTATACTGAGCAAGTGCAAAAAGACAAAAAAATTGTATTCCTCAACATTTCATTTCATGGTCAACATTCTTTCTAAAATATGATGGTAAAAAAAACAATCTTCTAATAAAATATAATTTAATAAATTCAATAACTATGATGGTCTTGAATGTAAGATTTGCAATTCAAATTTTGCAAATATAGTTCAGTTTTACATAGGAATATCGTAACCATGAAGTAAGGTTATCATTTTTATTATACTTTTTAGTCAAATAAATATGATCTGATCATTAGTCCCTGCCACATTTCATGTGTAAAAGTTAAAATAGTATGGATCTTTTGGTAGGTACTGAATTCAAAACTAAGGTGTTAAATATTTCATGCAGTGGTAATTTTGTACTTTTATTTAGTAAAATCCATGCAAAGTAATTTACAGAAACAAGCTTACACTTTGCTTGGCTACAAAAAAATAATTATTTAAACATGTGAACATGTGTTTTTTACTAAACTAATCCACACATTGGTAAGTTAAAGTAAATATTTATGCCTTCAACATTTTACACTTTGACACAGTTTACTCACTTTTACTTAAAATTTCAATTGTATTAAATTTCAGTGAAGATTTTTGGTTTAGAAATTATTTATATGATTTTGTCATTGATACGATTTTCTGGACGTTTCAGTGTATTAAGTGAAGAAGAAGATTTATAATATTTATCCATACAACTATTATTTGGTTTAAGTACTGCTGTGAAAGAATATTATGAGTCAGAACAAAAGGACATCAAAAAAAAAACAACAGTATAATTTTTCTTTATTACACACACTGTTTGTTATAGCTATTGAACAACGCTTGTTGCAGCCACTAAATTGTCTCCATCAAACAAAAAGTCCAACTTCCTTCAGCTATCAGATCTATATTTTACCAACTTATACTCAACTGAAAACAAAATAAGCAGTAGACAAAGTATTGCCCTTATAATCATATAAAATATTGTATTTATCGGGCTATCTTGAAAGCATCGATGAGCAATTAAAGTGACAGACCCTCTCATTACACAATCTTGTCTTGAAAATGAGAAAAAATTCAAAAAGTTTAATATTTTCCAATGGTTGAAACAAAGAATCACCACACAAACACAGACTAGTATCAGGGTGGATGCCATCACTTGTAGTGTAACAGCAGTGTTCAAGTACACTTTACCAAAAGTCCAAAGCATTAAGAGTCTCACCACCAAACCAGCAAAGAAAAGTATCGACAACTTGTTGGATATTGCTTGGTATTTGATGATATTATAGAACTGGAACACAACACCTGATTCATCTTTCTGGAAGTTGGAAATATACGCCGATGATACATGAATGTGTATCACAATAAACACAATGGTTAGTATCCCTAGCCCTATTAGGAACATCTGAAATATGTTTTTGAGTTTTATAAAATCTTTACCATGTCTGTGGACTGTAATAAAAGTCTTACAAGTTAGAACGAATGTGTAAACAATATACACTATACTGTAAAGTGCCTCATGAAAGGTTGGTGCGACGGATTCAACCTCTACCTTTGTCAGATATAATCCGGTTGGTAGGTGTTCTGCTACAAATCTAATCTGGGTAAATATGTGAGTATTGACGTTGTAAAGAGTGAATGCACCAAAAACAACACGAGTGTATTGGTCTACCCAGCGTCCGTCGATGAGTCGGAGCAGCTTGTAGTTATTCTGATACCTTGTTGTGCCGAGTTTAGCGATATAACCTCCGCGAGGATAGCTTATGCCACTAACACTGTCTGAGAATGGCAACTCAGAATTCTTAGGGGTTTGGAATGTCCATTCGGAACTTGAGTATTGAGCTCTCCATTCAATCAATGACCACTTGTAGTCGTAATTATCATTGTCTTGTACGTCCACACTCCAGGCCGGGATGCACTCATAAATTATATTCTTGAACACTTCATTGATACTACATGTATTTGGAATGACTCGCAACTGACGAAGCACAGGAACACCGATAACCTGATAAGTGCAATCACTTGCCCAGGAAATTATTTCTTGCAGAAACGAGTCACTAAGACTGTATTTGTTGTACCACATTTTCCTGTAAAATGTGTCCGAGTTGACTACAGTATCCATCAAGTAATCCAAAAACTGACTCCTATTGCTAACTTTGGAGAAACTCCTGATGTAGTTGTTGCCATGTAATTGAAACATCATTTTTATGTGTTGGTTAGCATCAAAGTAACGGTCTCCCTGAATACCTGCCACTACTACAACAATGATAACAGATGAAATTAAGACTAAATTCATTATTTTGAAAACTTGATTAAGGCGTTCTCTTTGCTCCCTTATATTCGTCATGGATTCGATGTTCAGTGGGTGGTAAAAACAGCTTCTTCTTTTATGTAGTACCCCATGATGATCAATTTCATTTTTCATTTGTACGACGTCTTCGGTTTTCAATTTATAATTTGAAATCGGGACTAAATGTACAAAATGAGATGCCAAGATTACAGCCACTAATACTATTTTAATTGGGATCAAGACAACAAAGTGATTTATCATAGCAAAGCCAATGTAACTTATCCATTTTTTGCTCTTATTTTCTCCCATTTTCAAGCCGTAAAGAATGATGAAGTAAGAACAAAGAGAAATGGTAAGTATACTACTCATCCAGGCAATTGCATAATATACAGGCCTCCTAGTGATCACTTGAGAAGATCTTGATAGAACTACAGGCAAATGTGTCATAGGTCTGTAAACCTTGTATATCATTTGAACAAACTTTTCATAAGAAGTCATGTGAGACCGTTTTGCTGGTTTTAAAAACATTGAGTAAGATTGTTTATTTCCTACTGAATAATATCTTGATTCTGTTTCTCCTTCATATATCTTAAAATCATTTTCTTTCCCTTGGCCTTCTATGAAGTAGCTCAATTTAAAAATTGTCTGAAAAAATACAATAAAAAAGGCATTTAAAAGGAAAATTTGGACTCCTTTTATGAATGTCTTAGTTCCAACTGAATAGTGATAATCATCAATGCCTTCATGTTTATGTTTGTCCAATTTAAAAAATGATATTCCGATAAGACTGGCCGACATAATTATTGAACAAATAATCACAACTCTATCAAGCTTTGTCATTTTAATGTCACGATGTCGAGAAAATATACCAGCCAAAATGTGACAGTGCGTGATTCCATGTTTGAGATTTTCAAAAAAGATTCTACTTAAGCTCCTGAAATCGTCAGCAGTTGCTGGGAATAACAACGCTTCAGGGAATTTATTATTTCCTAAAGCGATCCATTCCTCAGCAAAAAATGTGTACACTGTGGATGTATTTATGTCATACAAAAGAATTTTTTCACAATACCAATCAGAAAAACGTCCATTACTGTCATGCCAAATATGAATTTCATTGATTGTTCCTAAGTGAACAGAAGTACTCAACAAGAACCAATCATCAGAATTGTACCTTAGGACTTTCCGTGCCCTAGACTTTAATATATGGGCATGGCTCCTGCCACTAGTTCCTCTTATCTGTACCCCGACGTTAGCATTTGTACTTGCCATAAACCTACAACCAGTGAAAACTGCCAAGATGTAAAAATACTTATCATCAGGAAAGTTGTCTTCCAAATACATAACTTCTCTGGCTGCTGACTGTTTTCGATCCTTGAATATCGCTAATATGCACAATAGTAAAAAGACAAGCAAAACAGTTACCACATACAGGACAATGTATGGATTATCTTTTACAGTTAAAAATAAATGAACTTCTTTGAACGGATCGACTGCTTTTGGAGGAACAACAAAAACTCCACTGAATATACTCAGATGTTTGCAAGTGCAGTGAATCGTAGAATGGCTTGTCTCTTCTCCAACAGAACAGAAATTTGTCACCCAAGTATGTTGAAACCTCGTTAGACAGGTATTGCAAAAATAATCCAAGGAGAAATTAACAGTCTTTCCTGGAGGAGTATTCGGACTAGGTATCACTCCTATATACATAAACTGATTATCATTGATGACTCTGTAAGGAACATTAAAGGTAGTCATGTTGGCATTGATTTTTGTTGATGATTCCAGTATAAGTTCATAGTACGGCCGGAGTCCCAATTTAATGCTGACTAAAAGCTCATCTGATGAATCATTTAAGATGAACTTGGCAAACATTTTACATCTCGGTGGGACATCTACTCTTATCACATTGACATAACTGTCCAGATCTTCATCCTTGAGCAACTTTAGATCCAGTTGTGTAATTGAAAGTGAAATAGACCCATGTTTGAATGTGTTTGAAACATTTAAGTATAAGTCAAAAGGTTTGGGCAGGATAGTCAGAGGTATCATATCAGTTTTCAGCCCATCCGACGATTCAAATCTTTGGAATATATCTACACTCAGGATATTTGTAGATAAACGTCCAACGACTTCCACCAACGATGGACCTGCCTTTATAGTTGTCGACTGAATTGTTAAACTATCTGTTTCATTGGAACATCTTGTAAAATATACAGGGAGTTTGATGGAAGATTTCTTGTTATTGTTTATTCGGGTTACAGCCTCCAAACAAGAATCGGTCAACGTAATGAAAAATGATAAATTTGAACTCGATTGTAATAACAAATCATTTAATTTATTAGACTGCCTGTAACTAACTGAAAATGTTATGTCTTTTATTACATCCTGAAAATGCATCACAGTTTCTTGTAAATCTTTAAACTGATTAGAATCTATTGTACTAAGTTTATTTGCTATGGATGATAAAAGCCCGTTTAAAATCAACAGTACTGACTCAATAACGTTAACCATGACTATTACTAAATCGTTGAAAGTAATTCTTGTGAGAAATGGAATACTAGTTCCAGTTACTTGGTTTTTAAATATGTTAACAATTAAACCTATATACATTGTCATATGTTTTGCTGATGATGATGACAACTTAAAGTTTTCTTTGGATGAGAGAGAATTAATAATGTATCTTAAAGTTAGCAGACCAGTTTTCATTTGAGAAAGTGTCTGTGGGCGTACTGAACCAGTTTGTATTATGTCAATGCACTTCTTGAACACATAGTTACTATTTATATGATCTGGTAAAAAATCTAAAATATCCGAAAGTCCATTAACTGCTTCATCAAATTTTCCATTTTCAGCTATCATTTGGATTGCTGTCAAATTTGATTTTATACTTTTATTCGTTGGATATTTCTCTTTTTGAAGGGCAATCTCATGGGTAGATATAGCAGGAACGCCATGAATGCTGTAGATAAAAATAACTACTATTTCTCTTGATAACTTTACATCAGTCAAAGTTCCAACGTAATCTGTATTAAGCATTCTACCATTAAAACTTTCAACTGGTTCAAATTTATGTTTGTTATAGTATTCGTACACCAGTAATTTATCATCGTGAACAAATCCCGAGCATGAAATTGTAAACAAAGTTTGAGATACAACTCCACTTTTAGGAGTGACTTCACAAGACCCATTATAGGGCTTGTTATCAACACTCACTTTGGTACTAGCTTTGGAAATTCCATACGATACTTCAAAATTATAAATTTCTCCTGCTGTTAATGAATTAGGTTTTATGCTAAGTAAGTGTGAAGGGTATGTTTTGTCACGTATACTCTCTACACTTTGCACCGTGTCATTATCATTGCCATAGAAATAAGACCAGCTAAAATTACCAGACAATGTTGTTGTTGTATTTGAGGACGTTTTTACCTCAAACAACAGGACTTCTGATGGGATCACTTTGCTTTTGCAGTTAGCAAGGCATTTTATACTTATACCTAACCCTCCAGCTGAAACTACAATTTCTTGACTGGCAGATTCTGGATTCAAACTTGGTGCTGAAATAGTGAGTGTAAACAAATAACTTTTCCCTACAACAAGTCTCTCCGGTTTTACCTGCATTGTATTTCCAGAAGATTCAATAATATTGTTACACTCAGGGCTACAGGTCCACAAGAAGATGAGGTGATCCTGGTTTTCTAACGGCTCATTTGGGTCGTAAGACTTTGCTCCAGAAATGAAAATCCCCTCCTCTTTCCTAGTATCTCTTCTATTTCCTCCTTCCAAGTGTACAACCAAAGCTTGCTTCTGAATTTCAAAATAGCAATCCATATAATTTCCGATAACCTTTTGATCTATACTAGTTACTTGTAGTCTCATCTTATATTTACCGACTTCAAGTGTAAATGGAGTTATAGTCCAAGGCACTTTTTCTTTGGTTTTGTGTGATTTTACTATGGCCAACCCAGGCATTAAGAAGACAAACCAATCAAGCCAGGAGTCTGGGCGGGCATTATTGATAGTACTCTCCCAAGTGATGGCTAAAGACCGATAGTAAATTGATGTATACCTCGTATGTAAAGCACAATCACTTATTTGAATGTCTGGAACCAAAGAATTTGATTTCAAGTGGAGGTTACCAAAATTAATCATTACATCAAAGGAATTTGAAAATACAATTGTTTCAAAGTTCCTTGCTGTGACACTCACTTTTGCTACATAACCTATTGATTGATACCCGGGTCTGTTGACTAACCTTAAAGTTTCACTGGATTGTTGCCTGTATGGAAAATCTAAATTGGTCAAGTAGATGTCCTCACAGAGTGGTAGTTTGTGATCACAGAATTCATTCATTTTACAATCTTCCTTCATTTTCATAGGGTATACATAATACTCGCCATTGTAATCCTTATAAGAGACTTTGTCGCTCTGAGTGAGAGAAATTTCAAATCCTTCACTAGTTGAAATAAGAATATTAAGTCCTACACCACTGTATTGAGTAGTCACAATAATTGTTGCTTTAAACAAGAAATATGTTTTTAAAGAATGTTCTCCAAACAGTTTAAAAGGAGTTTGAGAAAAAAACACTCCAAATCCAGTTGCTAATTTTAATTCAAGCCCTTTCGGAATTCTATTCTGGCAAAATTCACCATAATATTTGTTTTTATCACAGTAACAAGAGGCTATTTGGTAACCAAAGCCATCAGTACATTTGCCATTATTCTTGCAAGTGTTATCACCTTCACACATAGATTTACTTAGGCAGATCCCATCTTTATCCACGTAAGAGAATTTGGAAAATGGGTAATAACATAAATTCATTGTATAAGTATAATCTCTCTGTTGATCAAGACAGAACCCACACCAACCACAGTCTCTTGTGTCTTTGCAATCCATCAAACAACTTTCTTGAATTAATAGTAAAATTATTATAATAGTTAAAATCATTTTATATTCAAACTAATGGTAGATGTAAAATACTTATTTGTTGACATTAACTGTTGACACACATGGCAAACTATTTATTACTACAGAGACTTTCAGACTTGGTAAAATGTTTTGCATACATATGATTTCTCTTTATTTATATTGGTAGAGTGTTGAGGGAAAATTATGTTGTCATCTATACTATTATATTAGGTATATAAAAATCTAATGGAGTCCGTCTGCATATTGTGTATTATTATACTAATAAAAACTACTGAACCGAAGGCAATGCAGTGAAATTGATACCAAATGATAGGTAGGTATGGACGATTAATTTAATAATGCCAGGACTATGTTGGCATACCAAATTTTTGTTAGTAATTCAAATAATTTCAACCGGTGTAGTAGGTCTCTAGAAAACTGTCAAATAAGATGCAGGGTTTCACTGGTTTCAGTACCAAATTGGATTCACCATATTATCACAGTAGTGTATATGGTTCAGAAACTTTATTGCTGGGTTTGAGAAATAGAGTGCAGAGAAAATATACGGGCCATTTACGATAGCGGAGGGTGAGATACGAAAGAACAGAGAGCTAAGAGGAATATTTTAAACACCTAAATATGCGTGGAGGAGAGAAGATACATTAACTTTTAAAAATGTATTCCAATGAGTACCACAAATAAGACGACTACTTGGAGGACCAAGCAATGAAAGACTTCTCCAGACTTGGGTCAACACTAGCATAGGCAAGGGATAGAAGAGTATGGGAGGTCAAAATCCTCGGTTTCATAGTGGCCATTGAGGTAATAAAAGGTACGGTAACTGATAATATGTAATTAAAGGTGGGATGTAGTTACTTCATTCATTAGACTATACAAAGTTGTTAGTTTATATTGCAAGAAATTGGTCTGTTTATTACTACTGTTGGAATTTTTATTTTATTGAAGAAATAACTCATAAACTAATGAAAACTTGAAAACATGTGTCAAAAAAGTCATAAAAAATCTGTAAACTATCTTACTCATATTTTCTTGTACCAATAAAATTTTTCTTGCATCTAAATTTTTTTATACCTTATCTGGCTTCTAGGGGGGGGGGGGGCAGCCGCCCCCCTGCTCCTCTCTGGGTACCCCATGGTAGATATTGAAATTTAGCCACATTTGAGAGATAAATTTGAGTGAGTTGTGGTATCAAAGAGATTAAGGGTATACTTCCATATCTGTTGGCACAAACAACAGAATTCATTCACAGAATTCAAACAATTAAAGTTCATTTATTTCATCCTTTCGATCAACTAGATCTTGTTCATCATAGTAGTCACTATAGGCAGAGTGGACTGGACACTCCAGTAATTTTCCAATGTGTTCATTAAATTCATAACAATTTTCATTGATTTCAGTGATTGATAAGAATGATTTTTTTGTTGATCAACTAATTCAACATAATCATTTTCTGATATAGTGTCAATAAATAAAAGAATATGATTGAGAAGAACATTATTAGGTTAGAAAATCTGACAATGGTTTGGTGTACTTCATTTTGTAATTTTAAAGGAATGCACTAGTGAGCTGATTAGAGAAATGAGGTTGTAAAGGCAAAGATAGAAAGGGGAGTAATAAGGCAACAGAATCAAACATTCCAATTTGGTCAGTGTAAACCTTAGTAGATTTTGAAGATTGGATTTTGAATATCTTGATGAAATAACAAATAATAATGTGTACAATATTAGTAATTTTGAATATCCATATTCTTGATTCTTTTGTCTGATGTTGGAGGGATCAATGAAATGATTAGAGAATTTAGATATGAGTGAATATAATTTAGCTTTAGGCTTGACTAGTATCATATTAGTCATCCCATCTAGATGGACCAGCTCAGCTACCCAATTAAAAAAAAAATGTAGTTTTGTGAGCCAGTCACTGAATGCGCTAGTGTCTAAAATTGTATTTTATACCTTATTTTATTGTTGCTGACGAGGTTATTGGGGTCACGGTTGCTATAACATTAACTAATATTAAAGATTGTGTATTCCGCAGAATTTAGTAATTTAGATCAGCAATCTGTAGGTGACTCACATCATTTAGGTACGCTTGTGATAAAAAAAAAAAAAAAAAAAAAAAAAAAAAAAAACTGGCTACAAATTTAACATGGGGATGGAATGTCTAAAAGGTAGTATCATGGATTCATGGAAGTGACACTTCCAAGCACATGCGCAGTAGGACGGTATTTTCGGTATTTACTCAGGGGAGGTATGGATGAGCTTACTATGACAGCAGCTGTGGGCTTCTCATTAGCTGAGGGAACACCATTATTACCGTAACAATACGAATTGTAGCCATCGACCTCGGTGGTCTAGTGGTTAGCGTGCCGGCCTGATATGCTGAGAGTCCCGGGTTCGAATCCCGCTGGTGGCACAAACTATATGACCAAGAGTTTTTCATTATCAGCAATTTTGGTTGGTTTGG